CGTGGGAAATTAATTATTTATAATTCCTTTACTTGTGGTTTAATCTTTATTATTTAAATAATTAAATAGATGAAATACAAGTTTAAAAATATTAATTTATAAATTATACAATTATTAGGTCTAATGAAATCATTATTAAGAGAATGTTTCCAAATTTAACAAATTATTTTATTACTCTCCACCTTGAATATATATATTTTTTCCGTTTTGTTATGATTATTATAAGTATTACTTATGTTATGGAATGTTATGCAAAATGCACTCGGAAATCTTTGTAGAACGTGCTCCATCGACCACGTTCTGCCCTCCCTCCCCCTCCTCCCCTTTGCTGCTTAACTCTGCTCTCTTCTCTCCACTCGACTTCCCCATTTCTTCTTTGCTCCCCTCTCTCTCTCTCTCTCTCGCTCTATCTTTCTGTGTGTTTTACTCTCGTTCTTTCTTTCTCTCAGCTCAGCTCAGCTCAGCTATTTTGGTTTTTGCGACAACTTTTTTGCCAGCCACCACCTGATGTCGATGTCGATGTCGATGCCGACGTCTGCGTCGCTGTTCGCTGTTCGCGTCGCAGTCGCAGTCGCCAGGCGGCATTAGGCCAGGTCGAGGCGGCAGAGGCAGCAGCTGAGGCGGCGACTGAGACAGACTCAGCAGTTAGCGGCGAGAAGAAAAGAAAGGTTGTGTGTGTGTGTGTGTGTGTGTGTGTGTGATTTTTGCTGTTTGTTTATTTGTTGGTTGGTTTTTGCCTTTTGTTTTTATATTTATTTGGTCTTTGATTTTCCTTTTAGATGTATTTTCTTGGATATATGTATATATTTTTATACCCCTGCAGGGTATTATGATTTTGGTCAAAAGCTTAAAACGCAGTGAAGGAATCATTTCCTACCCTAGAAACCATATATATTCTTGATCAGAATGAAAAGCTGCATCGGTTTAGCTATCCCTGACAAAGATTTAATTTTTTCAAAAATTTCACCTTATTTTAAGGGTTAAAATTATGAAAATTGTACTATGAAAAATTGATAAAAATTGGAATTTCTTAAAATTGTAAATTGAGTATGCAGATTTAAAAATTTAATAAAAACAAGCATAGAAAAGCTTACCGCATTAAAATCAATGCATTTTTGGCTTAGTTATGAGTTTTTAAAGATTTAATTTGTAGATAAAATTGCCATATAAAAATATAGATAAAATCGAGTCAAAAAATGGTATTATGCTTTTATTCAGAAGCTTAAAAAATGTGGAAGAAATCATTTCCGACCCTATAAACCATATATATTCTTGATCAGCAAGAAAAGCTGCATCGATCTAGCTATCTCTGACAAAGATTTAATTTTTTCAAAAATTTCACCTTTTTTAAGGGTTAAAATTATGAAAATTGAACTATGAAAAATTGATAAAAATTTGACTTTCTTAAAAGTGTAAATTGAGTATACAGAGTTATTAATTGAATAAAAACTAGCATAGGACAGCTTACCGCATTCAAATTAATGCATTTTTTCCTTAGCTATGAGTTTTTTAATGTTTAATTTTGAGAAAATTTGTTTATTTTAAGCTTATTGCTTATTGTAAATATAATAACTTCTTAATACATCTATTTTCTTCCGCTACATGAACATGTTTGCACATGTTTGGTGGTTTCACTTATCCCTTTGATCCTTTTCCTTTGTGTAACTGCATACCCAGAACAGGTGTCAGGTTAAATTCAACGAAAATGAGAAAGAAGAAACATAGAAACAGACTTGAAAATATATACATTTTAATGATTTAAAAAGACAGCAGTTCGAGAGTTCAGATTACGAATGGAATGCAATGATTACAATGGCCAGCTTAATCATGTGGAACCGCAATAGGTTTCATTTACAATTTTCCAACCTCTTCCCATTTATTTATTTGTATTTGTTTTGCGGCAAAATGATCATTTTTTAATGATCTATTAGCTGGCATTCCTAGGCTGCGTTTTTGTTTTGTTACTCTATTTATAAATGATCGCTGTACATCGCCGGCGCATACGTATACGTAATATTGCGTATACGCCCCGCAGTTCAAGCCTAATCTAACCCGAGGCGAAAGAGAGAGAGAGAGAGAGCGCGCGTCCCGTTCGATGTAACTTCAACTATTGCAAATGTAAACAAACCGCAAGTTCTGGAAGTGGGAAGCAGCAAGGGGAGTTGAGGGAGAGGGGGGTGGTACGTCAAACGTCAAAGCAAATTATATAATTTATTTATTTTGTTACCGCGCGATGTGCTGCTCTCTCGCCTGCTCTCTCTTAATCTCTCTTTCTCTCTCTCGCCGCCTTTGGGGTTCGTTGTCTGGCAATTAGCTTTTTGCTCTCTTTGCTCGCCAATTTTTGTGCTGTTCTCATTTTTTTTCTGCCCCCTCGAGCACTTGAATTTATTCTTGTTTCTTTTTTCGGGTCTTGCCTTCGTTTTTTTTATTTATTTTTTGCTTTTTTCTACATCGTCGCGTCTGAAATGCAAATAAAGCGGGTGCAAAAAATATATAAAAATAATAAAATTAAAAAAAAGAGCGGCGAAAAAGGTTCTTTATATTACATTTTAATTTTTTGTTACTGCTGCTCTCTCTCTCTCTCTCTCTCTCTCTCTCTCTCTCTCTCTCTGTGTGTCATTTTTGCAATTACGACCTGCTGGCGGGTGATTGACCCACAAGGCCCAGGCTCGCAAGGCGAGATCCAGATCCATATCCATTTCCATATTCAAAGCGAGATTAAGGTTCAGAACTAGAAGTGGGTTGGTGGGAAAGGGAAATAGAATGGGTGGTTGGGTGGTTGGTTGTGCCTGTGTGTGTCAACCACAGCGCAAACAAAAGGCCTTCGAAAAAATGTTGCCAAAGATTTTCGCAGTGGGTGCCATGTTCCCGAAAAGCGAGACAAACACAAGGACCAACAAAAGCACAGAGGAGACTCAATAAAAAGAACTTAGAAGCAAAAAAAATATTTAAAAAATAATAAAAGCATTTAAATAATATATAATAAATTCTTTTACAACCCCACTTCATTATTTTAATAATATATATTTTAACATTTGCATATTAATTCAAAAAATAAATTAATACATTCACTTTTTTACAAGCGAAATAAATCTAAAGTAATATATTTTATATATTCAAAGAATATAATATACCAAATTAAGTGATTTGCTCATTAAATTATAGATTAAGTGCGAAAACAGGTTAACCACTTGAAGGTCAACAACCATAATAATATTTATGTTATTTCACAACAAATTTCAAATTTAATCTTTAACAAATTATTTATATACTATATATGTTATATATATTATATATAAGCTAACAAATTAAAGAAAGTTAACCCCAATGCTCACTGTAGTCGCAGGACCTCCTGGTCTGTAAAGTGCGTGTGCACACTCCCTCCTACGCATTAATGTCCTTGCTTCATGGGAAATTTCGATACAAATACCACAAAGTCTGTGTCTGTGTCTGTTTCTAGGACGAGGAGCTTTCACCGATTTCGGGGTAAAAGTGGGGAACACAGTCGCCAAGAAGTTTATCTTCTTATATGTATATATTTGATTTAGACTGCCAAGCAACACTTGAGTTGAATGCGCACAAATAAATATATATAGTATATGTTATATATTTTGTATACACACCAATTTTTTTTTGTGAAGGGAAAATGGTAGATGAAGGCGAGGGAATATGAAACTAGCTAAACAGACATTTAAAATAAAGAAACATTGTTTTTTGTATTGAATAGAAAATCCATACCTTTAATTGATAGGGAAATAAAGCTAAAAGTTATAGAATTTACAAAATATATTTCACATTTTATAGCTTAGGTATAAAAATCCCTAAAAATCCATTTTATAAAACTCGAACCAAAAAAGAATCTAGTAAAACTTGGTTGGTAGACATTGAAGACTTGAACTCGGGTTCAATAATTCCCTTAATTTGGAACCCGCTGAAAACCCCGAACCGGGCCTCAAATTCCACCCCGTTGGGTGCTAAATTTTGGGTCGGCTTTAACCGGTTTATATACACTATACTATATACTTTATTGTGTGTATATTTCCACAAAGGCAACGAGATAACAAAAAGTATAAAACAAAAAGAATTTAAGAAGCATTTAGCAGCTGCAGAGAGCAACAAAGGCAACAGGTGACAGCACAGATCCGATCGACGACTGGCTAGCGTAGTGGGAAATAAAAATTCAAATATATAAATTAAAGTATTCATTTAATTAGCAAAGGAAACAAAAAGCAAACGGAAAGCAGCAAAAACAATATTACAATTTTAATTCGAGCTATAAAAACGAGACGAACCAAAGTACAAAATAAAGTCGCGGGCTGCACCGATATTCTAAATACACTTTTCTTGACTTGTTTATAATTATTTTAAATATATAAGAATATGATTAAAGTTTAAACTATACGGGTTTTTAAAAGATTTGGAAGAATAAATCATTGAAACTTATTAAATCCATACTTAAGGGCCTAGGAAAGGCTACATATTCTTGCATTTTAATTAAGACAACAAGAAATAGTATACAAAACTGATAGTTTATACATAAAAAGTGTTGAACAAAGACGAAAAAAAAACCCAACTGACAACCAAATAAAACCTTGCCAAGAGTAATTTAAAAGTAATTAAGAATTCTATTTGGAAAATGTTTAACATTTGGTTGAATTGACAATGAAACCTTTACAAAAGAGCTTACGTTTTTTTTAGTGGAAGTGTGTGAATGGGCTAGAATAATAATTAAAAAAAAAAAACAGAACAAACCAAAAAACGATTTTAGAGCTCTTTTTCTGACTCGTATTCCCGTTTTTCTTCCCTCTTTTCTTCAGCAACAAACAAAAACAAAACAACACTGAACACTTGCTGGAAGCTGAATAACAAAAATGGAACAACAATAGCAACAACAACAACAACAACCAAACAAACAAACAGAAGTGAAACAACAACAAAATACCTCCAGCTGTACAAATATTGATTGATATTGAGAAACAAATATAAAAGCATATATACCATATATACCAAAATATAATTAAAAATGAATCAACAAGAAATATGAATACGAAAATGTAACAATATAATCAATTATCCGCCTACCCCGTCCAAAAATAAACAAAGAAAACTAAAGTGCGAAGAAAATCGGAGGAAAGATGTTTGAAAAAATACTACTACCGGAACTTTTCACCGAAAGTGGGACTATTAAGATACCAGAAAAATACCAAGTGCGTTAAATTCAAGATTATACCGCGGAACAATTGAGAATCCCGTTATTCGTGTTTGATTTTCGTTGTTTTTTGTTCATAATTTGTTTCCCTGCAAACACTCAAATACAACAGCAAAGTACAAAGAAACGCAGCGATAACAACGTTAAATGCAAACTGCATAAGACTAATATCAACAGCACAACAAAGTAATACAAAATATAATTTCCCAAATCAACAAAAAAAAAGAAAAACAAAACAAAAACCGCATCCTCCGCCCACAGTAGGAGACAGAGAGAGCGAGACGCACAGCTCAGACAAGAGTAAGGGAGAAAGCAGGCAAACCAAACAAACGGCACCGAAGCTTGCAGAGAAAGATTGCGAGTGCGAGAGAGAGAGGCCGAGCAGCTGAGGAGAGAGCGCTAGCGAAAAGCTTCATGCAGAAAAACAAGAAACAGCGCAAAACATGTAAGTGAAATTGATTTTTTCTTTGCCTTTTGCTCCCTCCTTTCATTTGATTGTTATTATTGCTGTTATTGTTATTGCCAACATTAGACGTAAATATTTCATGATTGATTTATGCGGGCCCAGGGAAAGCTAACGGTATCGCAAAGAAAGGTGGCAACCCTGGCGCAAATGTGATAATCTCATGTTTATTCTAAAAGATTATTATATGCTCAAGGGAAGATAATGTCAAAAGAGATTCCACAATGCTATTTTAATTGATTTTTTTATTATTGTTAAAATTAGTAAAATTAGTTTTTTTGCAATACATTTATATGTCTCCAAGTTTTTAAAATAGAGAAAAACGGTTAAGAATCTCAAGAAATTTCACAAGAACATCTCAGAAACCCTTTTGCTAAAATAAAACCAATCTAATCTTATCAAATCTGGGTAATCTCTTAGCAGATTACCACCTAAAGTTGTAAACTTGGCCAGCTCACAATGTAATGCAATCACACCTGCATTATCATAGCTCTTCAATCGGGTGAATAACAGTTTTCTATCGTTTTTGGTAACCCGTAAAACAGTGAGTCACTATGTTGACTTACAAATAGATTAGTTCGGGAGTTATATAACATGATAAGACCCTATTCAGGGCCTTTGATAACCATTGATAGATGCTATGGGGAAAGGTAGTTTTACCAATTTTAGAACTATATAAAATCGGGAGAAGGTCTTGGAATACAATATATCTAATTAAGTAATAAGTCTTATTAATCAAATATATGTTATATTTAAATGCCTTTGTCCCAGAATTTAAGAAATAATTTAGCTTTTGATTCATAGTATTCAATGAATGTTAGGCTAAATGTTTAATTGATATCTTGAGAAGGTCTTGGAATACAATATATCAAATTAATGAATATATCTAATAAACAATATATCTAAGTAATAAAATATATATTATACTAATATGGTATATGCCTTGATTATATATCCCAGAATTTAAGAAACAATTAAGTTTAAATGTTTAATTGATATTCTTTCGGTGTAGTTGATATTCTTTCGGTGTAGTTTCAACAACTAGTTTATAGGGGAAAAGAAATAATATATATCCATTTCAAGTAGCCAGAGATCAGACCAGAAATTGACCCTAGCGATAAGATATGTGCATTTCAAATAATTCCCCCTTCTCCCCGGCGCTTTCTATGTGATGTCTGGGTCAGGTAATGGTAATAGGCAGTGGGGCTGAGTACTGAATACCAAGTACTGGGAGATATCACACATTTCCAACTAGCGAATTAACTGTCAAAGCTTGACCCCAACAAGCTCTAGCGTCGTCTAATCAGCTTAGCGATATCTACACACACACGCGGCGGGGTGTTTGAGCATGGTGTGTGTGTGTGTGTTGTTTTGTTGTGTTTGTTGGCTGAAAGGCAATCGAGAAGAGCAAACAAGCAATGCTTTTGGGGCGGGCGGCTTATCAAAAGCAATATTCATGTTGAATGTCTGTACAAAGTATAATTGCCCCGCACTCACACACACACACTCGGGCCATATAAATATGGACTCAGACGTGCGTACTCGCACACGATTATATCTAAATTTATATGGCCAAGTTGGGAGACAGAGACAGAGACAGAGAGAGAGGGGCGGTCGTTTTTGGGGGTACAAGTCTTGGGTCTTGGCCACTTTGGCAACTTTATCGATTTGTGGCCCGAAATTCTAGTTAGATTTCAGGTGTGTCGTGTGCCACTTTATGGCCAAAAGCCGAAATATTAGGCTCAGAGATAAGCAAGAATGAATTTAAAACAAGAAAGGAGGCTAATTTCGGCACACTGAACTTTGTATACCCTTCCAAATTGAAATTCGATCACTGAGAGTTAATACAATATAATTTATATATATTTATATTAAAAAACAATAAAGTAATGCCTGCTGTTATTTCATTAACAGTTTTGCAATTTTTAACGATCGTTTGCTATATGATATAGTAGTCCGATTTTCATAAAACTTTAAACAAAATTCTAGATTAATATATAATGCCTATATATTAAGTTTGATGAAAATCAGTTTAAAACTGTAAAAGTTATAGTTGTTTTTCTATAAATCGTCCTATTGTTCCTATGGTAGCTATATATATGTATATATATAGTCCACCGATTCGCCATGCTCCGATTTATATTCTAGTATAATTTTATAGAAGAATAACTCCATAGTTTCATTGAAATAGCTTGCTCTTTAATTGGTTCAAAACAAATCTCTCACATATTTATGATTCTCAACTGGTTCAAACATCCCCGGAACGAAGTGACTGCTGCCGGCCGAGTCTTAGAAATGTGTTGTGTTACAAAAGTTGCAAGTCATTGTTTATAAGTGTTCAAAGATAGTGCCTGATCATACATACTTGCTGGTCATAGATACTTACTAATCATAGTTACTTACTAGTCATAGATACTTACTGATCATAGTTACTTACTAGTCATAGATACTTACTGATCATAATTACTTACTGGTCATAGATACTCACTGTTCAAAGTTACTTACTGCTCATAGTTAATTAATGTTCAGAGTTACTTAATGATCATAGTTCTACAAATCGTCCGATTGTTCCTATTGCAGCATATATATGTATATATATAGTCCACCGATTCGCCATGGTCCGACTTATATGCTAGCAAAATTGTATAGAAGAATAACTCCATAGTTTCATTGAAATAGCTTGCTCTTTAATTGGTTCAAAACAAATCTCGCACATGTTTATGATTCCCAACTGGTTCAAACATCCCCGGAACGAAGTGACTGCTGCCGGCCGAGTATCCGACATGTGTTGTGTTACAAAAGTTGCAAGTCATTGTTTACAAGTGTTCGAAGTTAGTAACTGATCATACATACATACTTACTGGTCATAGATATTTACTGATCATAGTTACTTACTAGTCATAGATACTTAGTGATCATAGTTACTTACTAGTCATAGATACTTACTGATCATAATTACTTACTGGTCATAGATACTCACTGTTCAGAGTTACTTACTGCTCATAGTTAATTAATGTTCAGAGTTACTTAATGATCATAGTTCTACAAATCGTCCGATTGTTCCTATGGCAGCATATATATGTATATATATAGTCCACCGATTCGCCATGCTCCGATTTATATACTAGTATAATTTTATAGAAGAATAACTCCATAGTTTCATTGAAATAGCTTGCTCTTTAATTGGTTCAAAACAAATCTCGCACATGTTTATGATTCCCAACTGGTTCAAACATCCCCGGAACGAAGTGACTGCTGCCGGCCGAGTCTTAGAAATGTGTTGTGTTACAAAAGTTGCAAGTCATTGTTTATAAGTGTTCAAAGATAGTGCCTGATCATACATACTTGCTGGTCATAGATACTTACTAATCATAGTTACTTACTAGTCATAGATACTTACTGATCATAGTTACTTACTAGTCATAGATACTTACTGATCATAATTACTTACTGGTCATAGATACTCACTGTTCAGAGTTACTTACTGCTCATAGTTAATTAATGTTCAGAGTTACTTAATGATCATAGTTCTACAAATCGTCCGATTGTTCCTATTGCAGCATATATATGTATATATATAGTCCACCGATTCGCCATGGTCCGACTTATATGCTAGCAAAATTGTATAGAAGAATAACTCCATAGTTTCATTGAAATAGCTTTATTCAAATTTGTTCCAAAACAAATCTCTCACATATTTATGATTCCCAACTGGTTCAAACATCCCCGGAACGAAGTGACTGCTGCCGGCCAAGTATCAGATATGTGTTGTGTTACAAAAGTTGCAAGTCATTGTTTACTAGTGTTCAAAGTTAGTAACTGATCATACATACATACTTACTGGTTATAGATGCTTACTAATCATAGTTACTTACTAGTCATAGATACTTACTGATCATAGTTACTTAATGTTCAAAGTTACTTACTGATCATACTTACTTAATGTGTATTGATACTTACTTACTGGTCATAGTTAATTACTGATCATAATTACTTACTAGTCTTAGATAGATGATAACTTATCATGGTTATTTTCTGATCACACTAACTTACTGCTGAAAGATGACTCCTTCACTGCGTTACAAGGGTATAAAAAAATAGAAAACCAAAAAAGAAACACAAAGGCATCAATTTATATATAAAATTAGATTTATTTAAATTTTAAATTTATTTATAACAATATATATAGGGTGTTCTACAACCCGGCAACAATACCACCCACCCCCACCCACTGTTGTCGCTGCTTTTCTCCGCCTGCTCGCTCGGTCGCTTTTCCATCGCGTTGCGTATACGCCCCATTGCACCGACAGTCAGCCGTGCAACGGCGACGTCAACAGCGCCGTCTGTCTGGCGATTTCGGTCGAAGCGATTGACATGCTCTCTGCCTCCCCCCCCCCCCCCATCACCTGTGTGTGTGTGTGTGTGTGTGTGTGTGTTTTCACCTGGCACTCGAAAACAATTACAAAACAAAGTTGGAAAGGCGGAAAAAAAAGTGCAGAAGCGGCAATAGCAAAATAAACTAATAAAAAGAGAAGAAGAGCAAATATTACAGCAGCAACGTTGATGATAACAACTAAAAAACAAAGAAAGAAAACTAAATAAATAACGCTTGAATTGCATATTACTTACTTGCCCATCAAGTACCTTGTCACCTTCCTTGTTTTTTGCCTTTAATTAGATAATTATATTATCTCGGAACGTAATTTCTAACACTAAGGTTTTGTTTTTTTTTGAGGTGAAGTTACAATTTAAAAAAAATAATTGAAAATGATAAATATGCGCAGGCAACTTGGAGGATAATAAATAATATTTATTATAAATGTCATAAATATATATCAATATTTTTTATCACACTTTTTTTGATAAATTAAAGTTTCAAAATCAAATAACTAAGCCAAAAAGTATTAATTTTAATGCGGGAAGCTTTCCTATACTAGTTTTTATTAATTAAATAAACCTGCATACTTAATTTAGAATTTTAAGAAATTCAAATTTTTATCAATTTTCCATGATTCAATTTTCAGAATCTTAACCCTAATAAAAATGTGAAATTTCTGAAAAAATTAAATTTTTGTCTGACATAGCTAGATCGACTCGGTTTTTTATGCTGATCAAGAATATATATGATTTATAGGTCGGAAATGACTCCTTCCATATTTTTTAAGCTCCTGACTGAAAGTATAATACCATTTTTTGACACGATTTTATCTATATTTTTATATGGCAATTTTATCGACAAATTAAAAATTAAAAAACTTATAACTAAGCCAAAAATGCATTAATTTTAATTCGGAATGCTTTCCCATCCTAGTTTTTACTAGATTATAAAATCTGCTTACTTAATTTAAAATTTTATGAAATTCAAATTTTTATCAATTTTTCATGATCAATTTTCATAATTTTACCCCTAAAAAATTGTGAAATTTCTGAAAAATTAAATTTTTGTTTGACATAGCTAAATCGATTAAGCTTTTCATGCTGATCAAGAATATATATAATTTATAGGGTCGGAAATGACTCCTTCCATATTTTTTAAGCTCCTGACTGAAAGTATAATACCTTTTTTGGGTCAATATTTATCAATATTTTTATATGACAATTTTATCGACAAATTAAAAATTAAAATACTTATAACTAGGCCAAAAATGCATTAATTCTAATTCGGAAAGCTTTCCCATGTTAGTTTTTACTAGATTATAAAATCTGCATACTCAATTTAGAATTTTATGAAATTCAAATTTTTATCAATTTTTCATGATTCAATTTTCATAATTTTACCCCTAAAAAAATTGCGAAAATGTTTAAAAAATTAAATTTTTGTCGGAGATAGCTAAATCGATTCAGCTTTTCATGCTGATCAAGAATATATATAATTTATAGGGTCGGAAAAGACTCCTTCATAATGTTTTAAGCTTCTGACTGAAATAATAATACCCTGTATATTCACATTCTTTTTTCATTCATTCATTTTTAAGACAATTTTTTGTAGAAACGAAAGCTTAAAAACTCATAACTAAGCTTTCTTCTAGTTTGGGTACTTATGCATTATTTAATTTGCTTTGTAAACATTATTGTATTTAAATACTTGAACTTGAAACTTTAATTTTGCCATCTAGTTAGCCTTGAACTCCTTGTGTCAAACCAAAAGTCTGGCTGCCAAATTGTGCTCCTAATAATTTTCCTTGTAATTCCATTCGTCGAACCAGCAACACCTTTAGTAAATATTTCTAAATTATTTGTATCCCGAAAAAAGTTTCTCCAAATTTTGTAAATTCCAACAAATTTCTAAAAAGTTCAAGAGGTGTGTTTATTTAAATTGTAATATATGTATATGGGTTATATATAATACCCTATATACCCCTATTTAGGCTGAGCAAATACCAGAATCACCGCCAACGATTAAGAGCATTTTCCAAGGGCTCCACTGTGGCAACAAGGTTTTCGCCTCTCCCGACTCCTTGAGGTGCTCCTGGAAGAAGTGCAGGATGCACAGGATGCGCTCCATCAAGACATGAATCCATTGGCTTCCGTGAGAGGTGCTTTCGTAAGACTCGAACCGTCCGATGTATATGCAAGTATTGCCTGAAAATTAATGCAGGTTTTCCGACATTATTTGCATATACATCGTACGGGTCGAGTCGTACGGACAGCATCTTTCACGTAAGCCAAAGGATTAGGTATGGTCGTCGTCGTGGTTGGACAGCTCTTCCGCCTGGCTGTTGCTCCAGCCAATGCTGCTACCCTGGACGCTGCTGCTTCCCTGGACGCTGTTGTTACCCTGGATGCTGCTGCGTCCCTGGACGCTGTTGTTACCCTGGATGCTGCTGCTTCCCCGGACGCTAGTGCTACCCTGGACGTCGTTACCCTGGACGCTGCTCTTAACATGGACGCTTTTGTTACCCTGGATGCTGCTGCTACCCTGCACGCTGCTGCTACCCTGGACACTGCTGCTACCCTGGACGCTGCTGCTACCCTAGACGCTGTTGTTACCCTGAACACTGCTCTTACACTGGACGCTGTTGTTACCCTGGACTCTGTTATTACCCTGGACACTGCAGCTACCCTGGACGCTGCTGCCCCGCCAGTGCCTTTGCTCTCGGCGGTGCTGCTACCCTGGAGGCTTCATGTTATGTTTTCTTCAATTGTTCTTGAGAGGAATCCAAAGAGAATACATAGAAGAACCATCAGTAGAGGACGCTGATTGGGTTCGAGGACAAAAAATACGAAATTTACGACCAGAATCTCTGTTCTCCCATCGTTTGTCATGTGAATCAGAGAGGCGGGAAATATGTATGACAATGGGGAAACCGAGAGCAGTAAATATAGTTCAAAGATCTGCCCTGAATAGACGAATATATGTGCGCCATCTGATCTCAAAGTGTGTGTGTGTGTGTGTATAGTGAGGGTATTATTTATAGGCGGCACTTGGACAAGATTCGCATATAAATAACACACGGAGAGTATCTTTGGCCTGTTCTTTGACTTTTGCTTCTGTCATTCAACCAAACCAAAACCGAACCGAACCGATCCCCCTTGCCAGACCCACCTCGACCTCCGCCCATGACTCACTATTTTTTATGGCTCTGAGCGTTTTTTACGAGTTCGATCATAAAAAAGCAGCAAGTCCCAGGAACGTAGAGTCCAATTGCGCCCATGTTGTTTTTTTTTATATATCTAACTATTCCATTCTTTTTCCAGCTATTTTTAATACTGAAACTGAAATGCTTTGTTTTTAAAGAGAAAAATAGATATGTAGTTAGGAGTCAGTGTTCAAATATTAAAGAAAAACCTTGACTATTAAAAGAAAAATCTGTGAGGAAAACTACTTGTGTACCATCAATTGTTTTGGTATTTAAATAAGAGTATTTTCCTAAATTAAATATGTATTAAAGTTTTACATTAAATATTTATTTTAACAAAATAAAGCTTCATTTCTTTTCTCTGCAATCTGCTTCTTTGATCGCTCCTTCTAATAGATCCCTATATTTTTTTACCCGTTCCAGCTAGAGAACATGGAGGGTGCGAGTCGCAGCAGGAACGCCGCATCAGCCGCCTCCGCGAGCCACAGCCAGCAAGGAGGACGCCCCAGCCAGGACCGCATTGAGCAGGACCTCAAGCAAGACATTCCCTACTTCGACGAGCCGCCGGCGATTAATGCCAGCGATCTGCTCGTGCTCGGCAAGAGCGAGTGCAGCCTGGACGACCTGGCCTGGGATCCCAACGACATGGATGCGGATCAGGAGCAGGACCAGGACCAGAACCAGAACCAGAACCAAGACCAAGACCCCAACCTAGATGCAGACCAAGGGCAGGAGGATAACTATCCGGATGAGAACGAGAGTTCGGTGCTCGGGAGCGACTATGCGCCAAGTGGCAGCGGAAGTGCCGCCAATAGCTTCTATATGTCGCCAACGCCCTCCACCGCCTCGGGCTCTGGCTGTGACCTAATGCTCCGACCTCCCTCCAGCTCCATGTATCACTTTAACTACCGATCGCCAGCGAGTCCCTTGACCATGCCGGGAGGCGGCGGCGGAGGAGGACCAGGAGGAGGAGCAGTTGGACCCCCATCTGGACGCCTGCATCCGTATGGACATTCCGCGGCTCACGGCACGCCGCCTAACTTCTATCCCAATATGTGGTATCCCAATGCGCCCTACGGCGCCTCCAGCTCTGGAGGTGGCTCCTCTTCGGTTGCCGGCAGCGGTTCAATGGCCGGTGGCAGGTACATGACCTACGCCGGACCAGGAGGACCAAGTCCCGGTCCAGGCTATCCAGGTCATCCGGGACATCCGGCACACCTGCATCACCCGGGGCATGCCCTGCACCATCCGTACCAGCAGCCACATCCTCACGGGCATCCGCATCCCCTTCATGGGCACCACGTTCAGCATCCGCATCACCAGCATCCGCACGAGACCATGATGGAAATGTTTCAGCTCTCGAATAGGTGAGTCTGTAAAGCCAAGATATATACCTTCTAGAAGTGCTTAGATTTGTTGGGAAATCTTTAATAATAATCGGGTTACTTTCGTTTTAAGTTCATGGATCATCTTCCTTGGCACGGAAATTGGAGTTCTGTAGTTCCAAGGGGAGCTCCTCCTCCTCTTTCATTTCTTTCTGAGAAACCGCACATGGAATGAATGGCGATCCCGGTTGGATCACCCGTGGTGTTAAGTGGGGACCACATCCACATCCGCGGGTGGCCAATTGAACGTTATTCAGGGCCTGCATCCCGCTGGTTGTCTGGACTGATTGGGGATTGGAGATTGCTTCCAGCTCGCTCCCCCTCCCGCTCCCAATTAGGCTGTCTTCTTGTGGCTTAACTTAACTAAACCTGATTAGCCAGTTAATGTGTATTTATATACGTATCCATCTGACTTGGGTTCTTGTGTTTGGGATTTATTTTTGGTCCTGGATTCAGCGGAATCGCTAAGCAATTTGCTCCAGCCAAGGGGGAGCCGCTGGAAACCCGCACACGACATTGGCCACCACCCACTCCACCTCCTCCAATCGGAGGCCAATCAGGAGCCGCCCCCTCCCCCACTTGCCGCGCTTCCCAAATCAGTTGGCAAATCAGCAGAGAAGCGTTAGAACTACTAACAATTTGCTTCCTTATTTACTTGGCCTTTTGCTTCTGCTTTTGCCGTTGCTGTACCGTTACAATCGGCCATATATAATCCAATGCGTTTCGATACGTCATTAGCGGCGATTCCAAGGTCGACCTGCATCCGTTGGGTGGTGGTATCGATGGTGGTGGTGGTGGTGATGCAGTTATCGATACGCGCGCTCTTTACAATGTAAGCTCCACAGCCATAGAGCGAGAGAGAGAGAGAGTGAGAGAGCAGAAAGAAAAAGATAGAGTGTGGGGGGTAGGGCCAATGCACTGTGAGAAATAGAGATAATAGAAAATACAGTGGGAAAAAATTATCCACATTTTCTTTTGGATAAAATATGCTGTGAAAACATTTCTGCTTGAAATCCGCTAAGATGCAGACAAGTCTCTGAATTATCGAAAATATTGTAAACTCTTATTAATATTAGAGAATATTGCATTAAACTTTAAATTTCAATATTATTGAACAACATTAGAAAAATGTTATTACATTCCTTAGACGCTTTGGTTGATTATACATATGTTTCCGATTTAATATAATATCGATTTATTGTCACTTTAAAATGTAAATCGATATTGTATATCGATACGTTGGTTTGGAATTAAATATTATAATTATATTTCTTATTGTTTTTACCAATTTAATTGTTAATTACCATCAAAGTAAATCTGCCCTAATTCTAGATCCAAAAATCTTGTAAAGTGTAGCTTGTTTTTCCCCATTCTGTTGCGAATGCAACAAGTTGAGTGCACAGATAGCAAATACACTTGGAATTGGCTAAGAAAACAAACGAAAAACAAAACAAAAAAAGCTAAAACCGTTAACGTTAACGCTTTGAGTGGGCCAAAAGCAGCAAATAAAAAAAAAAGGTCTCAACAATTGCTACGACAACAATGTGACATCAAGTGCAAGGGTGCAGTGCACTCGCTTGATTCAATCAAGGGCAACCAAATAGCAGCAGAAAATCACACGAAACTATATAGTCCATAATTGAATACTCTAGCTTACATTGTTAGTTTTTCCTTCTATTAATAAACAAGTAATTAAAGCTTTTGATTAAACATTCAAGTTCTTCTTAAGCATGTGACTTGTTTGGTTTTTATTTGAAAAATGATTTTGATATTGATTAAGCCATTAATGCTATTTAATAACCAAATAATTAGCCTAATTTATGGGAATTTTCAGTTCAGTAAATGGCAATCAAATTTTGTTTTTGGTAATTTTTAAATATTTGTTTTTATGTGCGCCCTATTGCTTAGGCTATTTTTAAAATTTTAAATGCATTTATGAGCAGTATTGTATTACAACTTAAAATTTACACTGATAGTTTTTAATTATTTATTGGCTCGGTTTAGTTTTGTTTATTATTTACCTGGTTGCCAAATTTATAGTTCAAACTCAATCCTTAAGCACAATGTTTTCGAACTTTCCAGGAGACACTTGTCTTATTGTAATAGTAAAAACAATTTGCAAACTATTTTTCTGGCAGCATAAGAATATGCAAAATAATGTGACCAGACTTGAAATAAATGCATAGTAACTATGTAACCAGATTTAAATAAGAAGCACACGTAACTATGTGACCTAGTTTGATGCATTCTTGTTCTAGAATTTTCAAATCTTTTTGAAAACTTTAAATTTATTAAAAAAATCATTTGCAACTGATTAATTTAATGCTTATAATTAGTAATATTATAATTGCAACTCAAAGTAATTTTGCAATGTGCACCTCCCTTGGTGTTTGTGACCACTGCCTGTTTTTTGTTTACTCGAACTGTTGCGCACTTTCCTGTTTTTTTTTTCTCTCATTTTGTTTTTCCTATTTTCTTTAGTTTTTTTTTGCTGTTTACATTGCCTTTGCCATTGCAATTGCAGTTGCAATTGCTCCTGCACTTCGTTTCGCACTTGCCTTGTCTGTGCGTGTGTGAGTGTGAGTGTATTTTGCGAACTTGTTTTGCAATTGCGTTTTAAAATAAATTACATCAGTGGCTAGTGGCTAGGCGAGGGTTGAGCACCAACAGGGGGGGCGGTGGGTTGGGTGTATGTGCGAAAACAACAATGTGGCAGCTGTGGTAGCCATTGCTAATCGAACGCAGCAGCGTTCTCACATTTCCGTATGAATTACTCATGATACTTTCGAATACATTGTATATTTAAAATATGAAAATAAATGTGACCAGGCTTGAATAGAAAGCAGTTCGAAGTGACCAGGTTTGAGCAGAAATTAGCTCGAAACTTGTAGAACACATAAAGTATAAAGTAAAATAAGCAAATTTTCAATATTATTTAAAAAATATAATAGAGAAATTTAAAAATATATATAATATATAGAAATGTATTATATATTTTTTTAATTTAACCCGAAACCACTTTTCTCCGTGTCTGACTTTATGCAATTAATGGCGGAACTGCCCTCAAGAGCGACGTGATCATTGCCCTTGAATTGCACCACCCTTCCATCTTCCCCCCGGAATTGATACCCCTGAACGGAGCTGATAATTATTGACAGTACTCGGACTTTTTTTCGTTGTCATAGTCTAGCCGAACGGTTGCACTATGTAATACTTACGAGACTGCGTAACCGCGCCAAACAAATGCCAAGTCATGCGCCCCATATATATTTTTATAGATTTTTGTATTTGCACTATATTATATAGGAACAGAGCTATATGATTACTGGTGTTGTGTGCATATGTGCATATGGGAAATACGGGAAATGGACTACAGGCTACAAAGTCGTGAGCAGATAGCCAGATAGGGTTGTTCCACAAAATATAAATGAAATGGGTGACCACAGAAGAAACTCACAAGATACATGTATAAAATATATTTATCAAACACATGTAATTATTTGAGAAAGCATCTCAAGCATATAAAAGGGTCGACAAAATATTAAATTGCTGAGACCCGGTTTAGGATCATTCTTTACCAAATCTATATAGAAATAAAATCCTACAAAATTCTCCTCAGAAACCTGAGGCCTATAAATATTATGGTATTATTATTGGATACTTACTCTTCGCTTCCTGCAACTTGTTTGTATTTTCTCCTCTAAACAACAATTAACACACGGCATATAAAAAGCGATTGGCTAATCTAAACCCCTGCAGCTCTCTGGGACTTTGTCACCTTCCTACCTCAATCAGCAAACGCTTGTCGTATATCTGAAAATTGTATACTATATCTAACTACTTGGCGGGTGTGCATTGCACACTATACCTTTATTATCGTCATTAATCTGACTCTTTAGAGAGAGAGAACTATGAGTTCCAAAGTTCGCCTCAAAATATATGTAGATTCACAACGAGACATATCATGTGAAATTTATTTGAGGGTTGCCAAAAATAAAATGTATTGGAATATCGAATATTATCATGAACTATTCGAAATGTTTTTTTAATTTTAATCTTAATAATACGATTCTAATAAAAGTATATTTATTTCACTATATTCTAGCGGTCGCGAGGCACGCAATCGAGCTGAGAAAAATCGCAGGGATAAACTGAATGGATCCATCCAGGAGCTGTCCACAATGGTGCCCCATGTGGCAGAATCGCCGCGGCGAGTGGACAAGACAGCGGTTTTGCGATTCGCTGCCCATGGATTAAGATTAAAGCACGGTAAGGTTACATTTTAAATTTCTATTCAAATAAAGAAGGGAAGTCAACTTTGGGGAAGCCAAAGTTTGTATACCCTTTCCGAGTTTTAAATCGATCATAACTAAGTCAAAAATGCATTAAATTCAATTCGGAAAACTATTCTGTGTTAGTTTTTCTTAGGTTAACAAATCTGCTTACTCAATTTTGAATTTTATGAAATTCAATTTTTTATCAATTTTTCAACATTCAACTTGTTAAATTTTAATCCTTAAAAAATTGTGAAAATTTTTAAAAAATTAAATCTTTATCCGAGATAACTAAATCGATTCAACTTTTCATGCTGATCACGAATATATATGGTTTATAGGGTCAGAAATGTCTCCTTCTATATTTTTTAAACTTCTGAACGAAAGTATAATACCATTTTTTGACTCGATTTTATCTATATTTTTATATACCAATTCTTTCAACAAATCAATGTTTAAAAAACTCATAACTAAGCCAAAATAGCATTAATTTCAATTCGGAAAGCTGTGTTACGCTAGTTTTAATTAGGTTAAAAAATCTGCATACTTAATTTAGAATTTTATAAAATTCTAATTTTTATCAATTTTTCAAAATTCAATTTTCATAATTTTAACCCTTAAAAAAATGTGAAATTTCTGAAAATGTTAAATCTTTGTCAGAGATAGATAAATCGATGCAGATTTTCATGCTGATCAAGAATATATATGGTTTTTAGGGTCGGAAATGATTTCTTCCACATTTTTTAAGCTTCTGAATAAAAGCATAATACCATTTTTTGACTCGATTTTAACTATATTTTTATATGGCAATTTTATCGACAAATTAAAGTTTAAAAAAGTCATAACTATGCTAAAAATGCATTAATTTTAATTCGGAAACCTTTCCTATGCTATTTTTTATTAGGGCAATTAATCTGCATACTCAATTTAGAATTTTATGAAATTCAAATTTTTACAAATTTTTCATAATTCAATTTTCATAAATTTAACCCTTATAAAAATGTGAAATTTCTGAAAATGTTAAATCTTTGTCGGAGACAGCTAGATCGATTCAGCTGTTCAAGCTGATCACGAATATATATGGTTCATAGGGTCGCAAATGAAAAATAGAGTAGAAAAATCTATAAAAGGCTCCGGAAGAATTGATTTAAAATCCCTAAAATTGAAATCCGCAAATTCCGTTGCAGCCTTTGGCAAATCCCTGCTCCACCAGCGGCCCCAGATCACCGACACACTGATGAGCATGCTGGACAGCTTCTTTCTAGCCCTCACCTGCCATGGCCACATCCTGCTGATCTCGTCCAGCGTCGAACAGCACCTGGGCCACTGCCAGACGGACCTTTACGGCCAGAGCATCATGCAGATCACCCATCCCGAGGACCAGAGCATGCTCAAGGATAAGCTCATACCCACCGAGCTGGAGAACCTCTTCAATGCCCACGGAGACTCGGATGCGGAGGGTGAGCCCCGCCAGCGGAGCAAGTCCGAGGAGGACTACATCGATCGGAAGCTGCGCGAGGACAGGCGTAGCTTTCATGTGAGGTAATTGTATATTTGTAGCTAAATATAAATATATATAAATATATATTGATATTCCTCCCGATATTCAGGTTGGCTCGTGCTGGACCCCGATCAGAACCCACAGCCTACGAGGTGGTTAATATCGATGGCTGCTTCCGGCGCAGCGACGAGGCTCCACGTGGCGTCCGTTCCAATACGTTGAGCTCCAGCTTGCAGCTGATACGAAGGACCCGCGGTCGCGACGATGTCATTCCACTGCACACGATCAGTGGCAACGATATAGTAAGCATTATCATATATATGAATATATGTATATGCCTTAACTCGTTGCATATTCCCGTCCAGATCTTGACAGCCTGCGCTCGGATCATCCGTCCTCCGAAGATCGTCAACCGCCTGATCGATGCCAATACGCTCGAGTACAATACCCGCCATTTGATAGACGGCAGGATCATTGACTGCGACCAAAGGATCGGCATCGTGGCCGGCTATATGACGGACGAGGTGCGCAACCTCAGTCCGTTCACCTTCATGCACAACGACGACGTGCGCTGGGTGATTGTAGCTCTGCGACAGAGTGAGTTTAAAACTATATTGTATATCTTTGATATTTTATAACGAAATTCATTTGAAATCCTAACAGTGTACGACTGCAACAGCTCGTATGGCGAGTCCACGTATCGCCTTTTCACTCGGAACGGTAACATCATCTACCTGCAATCCAAGGGCTATCTGGAGGTCGACAAGGAAACCAACAAGGTGCACTCATTCTTCTGCGTCAACACATTGCTGGACGAGGAGGAGGGCAAGCGACGAGTGCAGGAGATGAAGAAGAAGTTCTCGGTGATCATCAATACGCAGATACCGCAGTCCACCGTCGATGTGCCGGCTTCGGAGCATCCGGCTCTGCTTGAGAAGGCGGTGCTGCGACTCATTCAGAACCTGCAAAAGTCCGGGGAAGATGGTGCCCAGGGCATGGAGGGTGATGAGGACGAAGATGTTGAGGAGGAGGACGACGACGAGGACGATGACGAAGATCCCGATGATGGGGTACGGAGCATGTCCGAGCTTGGGGATTCGTATAGTCAACACCACCACCAGCATCACCATCACCAGCAGCTCCATCATAGGCGTTCACAGCACGGAAGCTCATCGAGTGCTCTGTCCCATCATCATGGTCAAGGCAGCTCCAAGACCCCGCCTCTCGCTCTGGTGCCACCAGAAACCTCCTCCGTCAAGTCCTCGATATCTAAGAGCATCAGTGTGGTGAATGTGACTGCGGCGAAACATTTGCGCGGCATCCATAGCTCGGCAGCCAAGTCACCTACCGCCTCCCTGTCGTCCAGTTGCACATGCACTGAATCCCGATCCTCCTGCGACTATTGCCAGGCACCACTCACGCCCGATCCCCTGCCGATAGGTTCCAGCCTGAAGAGGAGCACTACGACTCTGTCGGAAGGCGAGGAAAAGCACTCAGCGAAGCGGCGCTTCATGCCCAGCACTGGTGAGGAAACAGGGAATACCTTTTTCACTAATCCTTGACACTATCACTTGTTATCCTTCAGAAATCGAGCATGCCCTGCACACATCCCTAGATCAGATAGGAAGAACGCTGACGCAGCAGCTCAATGTGGCCAGGAACTTGAGGGAGCAGGGCCAGCGTTACGAGTTGCCGCATGCCGACCAGCGCTTCGATGAGATCATGGTGAGCTTTCTCCCCAAAAACCCTTGATCCTTATGTCGCTTGAATTCATACATTTTCCTCACCCTTTGCAGCAGGAACACCAGAAGCAAAGCGAGCTGTATGTGAATATCAAGAGCGAGTACGAGGTGCAGTTGCAGAGCAAGGCCGGCGGCGCCCGTAAGTCCCCGGAAACGGAAACGGAAACGCAGCAGGACACAACGGCTCGGGATCGGGAACAGGACTAGAGAGCTTGAGAGATACTGAGAGAATGAGAGCGAGGTCAGCTCTCGACTGAAGAAGGGTTTCATCGATGTGATAACTACTACTGTCCTGGCAGCCAGCTCAAGCCCCAAAAGCGGATTGTCGCAAAACAAGAAACACACAAGCTCTTATATATAAATATATATACCCATATATAACTAGAGTATAGACCCACGATTGTGAGAGACCAGCTGCAGGAGAGATACAATTACAATTACGGTTAGATAACCACTACCTATAATCCCAACCTATGAGTGAGCATGAAACAAACATACTTTACATACTGGAGATGCCCCCATAAACGCACAACAACAGCCACACACACACACACAACGACGATACACTCGCTGATACACAATGCTGTTTGATCAGTTTGTTATTATTTTTAACCTTACGTACCACACAGAGCGGACTTTGAAGTAACGAGTAACGAGTAGCAAGAAAGAACAAGGATTAACTGGCAACTAGTAACGAGCGGTTTCCGTTTCCTGTTTCCAGCGCCGATTTTGCTATTTCGATTTCGATTTTAGTTCGAAGTTCTTCCTCGCTTTTATACTTAAAGGAAATATTTGAGTTCCTGCGATATTTAAAGTCACCCAATGTGTGTTGGGTTATCTTTTCAAATTGTTTCTGAAATCTCTGGATTTTTATACTATTTTCTAGTTTGTTTTGTAAATTATAGAAATTTGACAAACAAAATGCAATTTCAGCGAAATCGAAGCGACGGACGAAGGATAAAGATTAGCATAAATGGGAGGATATATAAACAATTATTAGGCTAAATCGGAATATAAATTAAATATACCACATATATATATTTGTATATGTATAAGTATATATATTAATATATATATGTACCTATGTACCATATGTTGTGCGTGGTTAGCGCATGGCCCAAACTAAACGTGATAAAAGACTGTTACCAACTACAAACACACATACTATAAACATACATAGATACACGCTTAAATTTAAACTAAACTAATCTATAAAGGAAACGATGAAAAAACAACGTAAACTTAATTCGGAATAATAAAAATATTCATAAAATAGATAAATTAAATTTACTGTACACACACACACCTTTTTATAGATGTTTAATGTAATTAATAGCAGGAAATATCAGCATCGACGACAACAAAAACAACAACAACAGCAGCCAAGTACAATTTACACAGATATATGCTATAAATACTAAATGTGTTTGAATCGGTGTAAAGAAAAATTTAAGAAAATCTAAATCACACACACAAACCACACACATAAAACAAAAACCAGCAGAAAAGAAAATCTAAAGCATGAAAAAATAAGAGAACTCTGTTAAATGTTTGTTATGCATTTGTTTTTTTTTATCTAAATTAATAGTAAACTAATGTATTAGTGAATAAACTTGTGTACCTACATACAAAACAATGGAGAAGCATTGTTTAATTAAATTATTGAGGGATTTTCCAACCAACAAAGAAATTAATCAAACGCGACGGAGTTTGGCAGTCTGCTATTAAAATTGATTTTTTTAGATAAATGAAAAGAAAAATATTAAAGATTCAAATCTTTTTGATCAATTTCTATAAACTACGCTATCAGTCCTAGTAATCCGATTTGGTTAACATTGAAACCAAAGTTCTTAATAATAAAAAATTTCCATATCTGAGGGGACATGGAAATATGCTAAAATACAGCGAAGTTCTTAATTCTTTTATAAATTTCGCGATCGTCCACTTCTTTATTGCGGTGCAAATACCCTCCAAGGATTTAAAAATGAAGAAAGTTGTTTTTAAAATATCAAAAACGGTCACAAGGCGGAATAATTTAAATTAAATATACCAAAAATACTAATGTTGAAAAATATCGGTAATCGACATTCCAACAATGCCGGCCAGTGGTAAGCTATTTATAATACCAGTGAAATTAAATGAGCTCCTGTTTAATTTTTTAAGCGTCACGTTTATTTGTAGTCAATATAGTAATGTTAACTAATATATCATTCCCATACAAAACACTTTGGCATTGTCTACGAAATTTCTGAACACTTTACGTCAATTGGTTGCGATTTAAACGTTCAAGTAGTTCAAAGCAGTGTGACCTGCTGCTGGGTTGATCGATGTTTAAAAGGTAATATCGATTATTGGCTGATTTATCATCGATGTTTTAGCAGTTGGTCACACTGCTCGGATTGTGACGTTCGCGTGGCTGTGTGCTGCTTTTCAAGGCGAAAGAAGCGAAAAAGCAGAGAAGGCAGAACAAGAAGCGAACATTAGAGAACTGAAAAGAGCCTTCCACTTTCCACACACTGGCAGACAGCAACTACACACTGCCCGGAAAAACTGTCGTATTGTGCGCAACATCAACGTACGGGTCGGACGGAACAAAATTGAACGGGGTTCGAAAGTGAGGAGCAGGGGAAAAACGAACAAAAAAAAAACGCCGAGCAGCAGCAACGGTGCAAAATGAGCGGAGATGTGGCTGCCGAAAATGTAAGTTTCCGAGAAAATTCCTTCCTTCACTTTTCGCCCCGCAGGCAGGCAGGCGGGCGAGCGGGCTGGCCTCTTCATTTTATGTAATTAAACCGAAAGACAAGTCCAAACGTGTTGAATAGGCGCCTGCCTGCGCCTTCCTGCCTGCCGCAAAGTAATAAAATTTAAAAATGAAAAGGCAAGACAATACAAAAAGAAACCCAGTTGCAAGTGGTGCTACGCAGTCGGCGTCGCTGCTCGCAGTGCGTACGGTACGAACATTTTGCTGGCAGAGCCACAGCAGCGCAAAGCAAAAGCAACAAAAAGGCCTTTTGGTAATTGACGAAAATGGCGACAATGCAAGTGGCAAGTGCGGATGCGGGACGGGAGGTGGCTGGTAGTGGGCGGGGAGGAAGGAGAAAAGCCGAACAGACGAAACGAAATGTATTTGGCACAGTGTGACCGCTCGCGATATACCAACTCAGTATTTTTTTGTTTGTAGCTACCTTTCTTTTCCTTGTTTTTTTTGTCTTTGATCACTCAACCCTTTTGACCCCACGGGGCGGCTGTAACTTCGAAATTATCCAATGTATGCAGGGTTCACTTTTAACTCGGGTGTTTTAACACAAATATTTATATTAGCCTTGCAGTTTGTTGATGTTTTCCCCTTGGCCGTGGTGTGGTCACACTTGGTCACCTTGGTCAGCGGCAGCAACAACAAAATAATTCAAAATCACATGTGTTTGTTGTTGTTGTATCTCATTACTCTTCTCTTTTGTATGTAATTGCAAGTGTCCCATTTTGCAATTACAAATCCCACGTACATACATCTTGATATTTGTGATAAGCCAGATTTGCCACCCCAATAATAATAACAACAACAACAATAACACACCCCGGGTGTGCAAGTGTGTGTGCCCACGTTGAAAAAAATAAGAGTAAAAAATTATGCTATAAAACGCAGTCGATTTTCTGTATTCTCCAGTGAAGCGGTGTGTGTGGGTTTGCAAGGTGGTGTGTGCGTGTGCCATTGTTTGGCATATGTTTCTTAACCTATTCCAACCGATAGCCCGATTTCGATTCCCATTTCCCACTCGGAAGCAGGAATCTTGGGTCGCCATCGCTCTGTGCTCGGTGCTCTGCTTCTTCGAACATCTCTAATGTTGTTGTTGTTTCCCATGAATTTTCCTACGCGGCATTTGTTAGGGTTGATTTTTCACCACGTGGTGAGCGCACACACACGCAGGCCGCACGACTTTTAATCGGAATCTAAAGTGAGGAAGAAAATCATAAGTAATTCTTAACAAAAGTGAAAAACGTACAAGGCGGCGAAGCAGTAGCAGTAGCAGCAGCAGCAGCAGCTGGAAAGACATGACGAATGCACAGGTTTCTGGCTCGATTATACCCTTACTTTCCTCATGCTCCACTCTTGTCTACATCTTGTAATTTTTCTCTACATCTTTCTCTCTCTCTCCCTCCTTTGTAGAACATCCACGCACAAAATGGTGGCAGCTGCGAGATGGTGCAGTCCAACGGGGTGACCACCAATGGACACCACCACCAGTCCCAGAACCACCACCACCACCACAGCAGCAGCGGCGGCGGCGGCAGTAGCAGTGGGAGCAGCAAGCATAAATCCTCCAGCAAGGACAAGCATCGTGATAAGGACAGGGAGCACAAGAGCTCCAGCTCGTCCAGCTCGTCCAAGGATCACAAGAGCAGCAGTCGGTATGTGTGAGGTCTAAAGATAATGGAATATAATGTAGGGCGAAAGAGCAGATTGGTTAGAATCTTCTGGAAGACGTAGATTCTCTTAGGATAAGATTGTAACAGAAGAAGTAATGGGATCGTGTAAGATAGAAAGGAAAACTTACATTATATATCCTCCTGGAAATGTACGGGAACATGTGGATCAAGGATGGAAGCTAAAGAGGTAGGGTAAGGGCAGTTAAATAGTATATGAATGAATCCGATTTATAGTATATTTACAAAGCATACAAAATGGCAATCCCCGTTTAGCTTGATTCAATTATCTATGCAAACAACATAGTTATGATCACTTGACCTCCTTTTCACCCGTGAGAATGAACGATAGCCCGCAGAGCTACGCTTTAAACACACAGACAATAGTTATGCTGGAGCCGAGCTAAGCCTAAAATAATCAACTGCAAAACTGTTATAATAACAATTGTGTTTTCACCCATTTTCTAGCGACAAGGATCGCCACAAGAGCAGCAGCAGCAGCAGCTCCTCGTCAAAACATCGCGACAAGGACAAGGATAAGGAGCGCGACAGCAGCAGTAGCAACTCACACCGCAGCAGCTCCTCATCGAGTCATCGGGAAAAGGATGGAAGCAGCAAACACAAGTCCTCCTCGTCATCGTCGTCCTCTTCCGGCCACCATAAGAGCTCCTCCAAGGATAAGGAGCGACGTGACAAGGACAGGGATCGCAGTAGCAGCAGCAGTCGTCACAAGTCCTCATCGTCCTCGTCTAGCTCCCGTGATAAGGAGCGCAGCAGCAGTAGCAGTCACAAGAGCTCCTCCTCGTCATCGTCATCATCGAAGAGCAAACATTCCAGTTCGCGTCACAGCAGCTCTTCCTCCTCGAAGGAAACGCCATCCTACGATGGAGTGTTTGTCAAGCCCGAGCCCGTCTCTCAGCCGGCACTAAACGCAGACGCCATTGATCCCTTCCACATGCAGCAGCAGCCCCTCGGTGGCTACGATACCTCCACCCATGCCAATGTCAACTGCAATGGCAATGGGAACGGGGATTCCATTGATGGCAATAACTACAAGAATGGTTATGAGGAATCGATTGTGGAAATCAAGAAGGAGGATACGAGCTTGAACAACCTGTCGCAGGCCAGCTCCTGTGACTACTCCATGTCCCAGTTTCGGGCCGATGAGCCGCCGTTTGAGGTTAAGCATGAGTCCACTTATGTTGAGGACGATAGCACCATGAACGACAACGATCAGGATCAGGATGAGGACGCGGATATGGACGACGACGAGGAGGATGTGCCGCTGGCCATGCGTAAGCGCAAGCAGGAGGTACTCGAGCCGTCAAATGGCGGCGGCGGCGGCCACGATGACGACGACGACATTCCGCTGCTGGCGCGCAAAAAGATCAAGAAGGAGGCCAAGGAGAAGAACAAGAAGAAGCGGGTCAAAGAGGAGGCCGACGACGACTATGGCAGCGTCAAGCCCAAAAGAAAAAGATCAAGAAGGTAGGCTTTGTTTAATTTACACTTTAATTTTGTTCTGACGATTGATGACTTATTTTCCGTCTACAGGAGTCTGGAGGAGGAGGAAGTCAGATCAAGACGGAGAATGTTTCGCCCACCAAACGCCAGAAGATCAAGGAAGAGGAGGAGGAGGTGTGGAGATGGTAAGTGAAGATGCTTTTCAAAAGGAAAGGCCATTTTTAGCTCAAAAAATAGGTTAAATTGCAAGTTTTTAAGATTTTCGAGAGATTTTAAGCCGTTTAAAAGTCTATTTTGATAAGGAAAAGCTAACAAACTGTATATTATATATTAGTTTTTCTAAAGTACCTTTGAGGATCATAAAAATAGATAAATGATAAGCTAGCTCTTGTAGGTTCCGATAACTAATCACCCATAATATTCGATACAAATTTAAATCTTCAACTCTTGCTCGTGTATTTATTATAAAATCAATGACTTTGTTTAGCTGCCGATAAGGAACAAGCTTATTTTTATTGTTATTACATTTGAGAGAAGGTTACTTCAGGTGAAAGGCTTTGATTAATCATACAAAAATTTAAGCATCCACTTGGGAAAGGAAAAAATGTGGTGTATATATATATATGTATATACTTTTATAAATATATAGCCCTTGCAACAATAACAAAACAAAAACACGCTGGCTGCCCACGCAACTGAAAATGACGTGTGCACACGTGTAGTGTGTATGCGTGTGCGAATGCCATGTGTTTGCCTGTGAAGTTTGAATGTCACTGACCTACATTTTGAAAGTCACACAGATACGATACACTGTTGCCAGTTTAGCTTACTTCATGCTATATCTGGAATATTATATTTATATCAGAAAAATTTAATATTTATAGCAAGTGTGTTCTTTTATAAGAAATATACATCTCTATTTCTATTAAAACTTGAAGAATAAGGAAAAAGAGAGAGAGAGAGACAGGCAGACTGTGAGTACCAACAGTTATGTGGGGCGAATACAGTTTGGGGCCCACTGTGCTGGGGGAAACATTCCCCACGAAACGCGTGCGAAGACGACGAACCCCCCACCAGAAAACAGCTGATTGAGCGAGACCGAAAAAGTACAGACTTTGAGGTTAGGTTTGATCCCCACCGCTGTCGCCGCCACCACTGCTTTGCGTAATGTGATAAAACAAGAAAAAACATAAAAAGAAACTGGAAATATAAAGGAAAACAAATGCGCTGGCTGGCGGCGGCAGTGCTTCCATTGGGAAATCGGAGTGTCTGCTTGGTTTTCAGGCAGCAACTGGCCACCGTTGCCACAAACAGGAAGAGAAGAGAAAGGAGAAAGAGCGACGTCGTTCCAGACGAAGAGCAGCAAAGTCGATGGTTAGGAGCTGGTTTACTACCCTAAAACCAGGATAATATTAGGGTATTTTATTATAGGAAATATACATTTTGTTTGCTTTAAAAGTATTATAATCATAACAAGCAATATACAATAGGATTCAATCTGAACAACCATTAATTCTCTTCTAAGCATATACTAAATACTATTCCCTTCCAATTTTCCAGGTGGGAGGAGGAGAAGCGTGAGGATGGCGTCAAATGGTCCACGCTGGAACACAAGGGACCCGTTTTCGCCCCACCGTACGAGCGTGTGCCGCGCAATGTGCGTTTCTTCTATGACGGAAAGCCCCTGGAACTGTCGGAGGAAACGGAGGAGGCGGCCACTTTCTATGCTAAGATGTTGAATCATGACTACTGCACCAAGGATGTGTTCAACAACAACTTCTTCAAGGACTTCCGCAAGTCGATGACGTCCAAGGAGAAGGAGATCATCAAGGATTTCCGTAAATGCAACTTCCAGGAGATGTTTGACTTCTTCCAGGCGGAATCCGAGAAACGCAAGGCAGCCACCAAAGAGGAGAAGCTGGTGAAGAAAAACGAGAACGAGGCCCTGATCAAGGAGTACGGCTTCTGTATGATCGATGGCCACAAGGAAAAGATTGGTAACTTCCGCCTGGAGCCGCCAGGCCTCTTCCGTGGTCGTGGTGAACATCCCAAAATGGGCATGATCAAGCGACGCATCCAGGCCAGCGATGTGTCCATCAATTGTGGCAAAGACTCAAAGGTGCCGCCACCGCCGCCAGGATCGCGATGGAAGGAGGTGCGCCACGACAACACGGTCACCTGGCTGGCCTCCTGGATCGAGAATGTGCAGGGCCAGGTGAAGTACATCATGCTGAATCCCTCGTCCAAGCTGAAGGGTGAGAAGGATCACATCAAGTACGAGACGGCGCGACGCCTGGACAAGGTAATCGATAAGATCCGTGCCACCTATCGCGACGAATGGAAGTCCAAGGAGATGCGTGTCCGTCAGAGGGCAGTGGCCCTGTATTTCATCGACAAACTTGCCCTCAGGGCGGGCAACGAAAAGGATGAGGATCAGGCCGACACTGTCGGCTGTTGTTCGCTGCGCGTGGAGCACGTGCAGCTGCACAAGGAGCTGAACGGCAAGGAGAACGTGGTGGTCTTCGACTTTCCCGGTAAGGATTCCATACGTTACTACAACGAGGTCGAGGTGGAGAAGCGCGTCTTCAAGAACCTCGAGCTGTTCATGGAGCACAAGAAGGAGGGCGACGATCTCTTCGATCGCCTCAATACCCAGGTGCTCAACGAGCATCTCAAGGAGCTGATGGAAGGTAAGTGCTCGAAGTAAATATTCTCCTTACCGAGAGACTGAATCAATGGGAATTTGTAGGACTCACGGCCAAGGTATTCCGTACGTACAACGCATCGAAGACGCTGCAAAGTCAACTGGATTTGCTCACCGATCCGAGTGCGACGGTGCCGGAGAAGCTGTTGGCCTACAACCGGGCCAATCGTGCCGTGGCCATCCTTTGTAACCATCAGCGTTCCGTGCCCAAGGGCCATCAGAAGTCCATGGAGAACCTGAAGGAGAAGATAAAGGCCAAGCGCGATGCCATCGATGATTGCGAGGCCGAATATCATGTGAGTATGGCGCAGAACATTAAATATGCTTGAGATTGCTTCTTCCATTTTGCACATTTAACTCAAACTTGACCTCTGCAGGACTTGAAGAAGGCAGCCAAGCGCGGCTCCATGAAGGAGAAGATTAATGCGGACAAGAAGGGCAAACAGCTGGAGCGCCTGAAGGATCAGCTTAAGAAACTGGAATTACAAGAGACTGATAGAGACGAGAATAAGACCATTGCCCTGGGCACATCTAAGCTAAATTATCTCGATCCACGCATATCGGTGGCATGGTGAGTATCGGCTCGAAGTATATCCCTTGACCACTCACTCACCTTCTAACTTGCCCCTAAAACCCTTTGCAGGTGTAAAAAGAATGGCGTGCCCATCGAGAAGATCTTTAACAAAACACAAAGAACCAAATTCCTCTGGGCCGTTCACATGGCCGATGAGAATTATCGTTTCTAAAGGCACTCAGCCACACATCGAAGCACAGACAGCGCAACAGAAGCAAGCAGCAGGAGCAACGGCAGAAAAACAGGAGCTGAAACCACATTTCTTCTTTCCCCAAACAGTTTATGCAATTGGTAATGCATATATTCAGCTGTTTGGGTTAAGGGGAGACTGCAAAAACCCTTTGATTTAGAGTGAAGTCAGCAAGAGAGAATCTGATTCAGAGAGGGATAGCGATAAAGAGAGAGCTGCTTGCAATGTATTTTTTTCGTTAAAGTCTAACTAAACGAAATGTGCACCACCCATTACCCACACACACACACACACCTGGATATGTGCTATATATGTGCATGATCAGATTGATATGTATGCATATATATACGCATATACTGTATGTTAAATAAAAAGCCAAGCCAAGAGAAGAAGAGGGAGAAAAAACATATTCAAGAAAGCATAATTCTATGAAAGTTACCTTTATTTTTTTTTATATAAATATCTATTATGTTAATTATAAATGATAATTAAGCACAACAACAATAACAACAGCAACCACAACAAAAAAAACAAACAAAAACAAAAAAAACTACAAGAAACGAAAACAACCAAGACGCAAGCAAGATGATTTCTTTGTATGTTTTAACTATAGTTGATTTTGATTTAGCAAAGATGACTTTCACTATTAATTAATATACAATTTATGATTACGTATTTAAATGCTAAACGGAACAGAGATCTGAGAAGGCAGAATAGCATAGCATAATTTATTCAACTCTGAACCCAAGGCGGCCGTTTAACTCCCTAAAAAGAGAACAAGAAATGTAAAATTAAAACAAGGATTAAAAAGAAAACATTAATTAGTGTTATTATAGAAGTGGTTTTCGTTGTATGTACCTTCGTGAGTTTAGTTACGACTTTCTAAAAATAAACAAATGCTAAATTCATATAAATTTGAAAAACCGTTTTAATATTTTTTAACTAAGCTATATATGTATACACATATATATATATAGACAGGTTTCAAATTCTGTTCAAGCCACAACAACAACAACCAATTGCAAATCAATCAATGAACCAAAACCACAGAAAAACGAAACTTAAATGAAAAATGGAACTCCATGCTTTAGCATCTAATTAGTATGTGCAATTAAGTGAGCCTAAAACAAAAGTAAAAATAAAACAAAAACAAGAGAACCCTGTAAAAATCAAAGAGAATCGAGAAATCTCTCTTAAACTGAAAGAGAGTGGAGAGAAGGAGGAGGAAAAGGAGCATCGTAGTGGAGAATCTACACTTTACAACCTTTGTTCAAGCCCATCGTTTATGATTTATATAATATAATAATAATGTCTGTATGTAGCTGTATTTTTAATTATTAAATTAAAACGAAATGATCAAGATGGAAGCCCCCTCACCCCTAGCATAAATTGCAAGATAAAGAATATTGAACTATAAATAAAGAGAGAGGAGACACACACACACATATGATAATTAGTAATTAAAGCAACACACCACACATTTATATACGTATGAATGTATGCTTTCAAAAGGCAATAAAAAAGATACAAAAACAAAAAAAGAAAGTTAAGGAAACATCAACGTTTGTGTCACACTCACTTAAAAAACTTGGCATATTAAAACAACAACAATATCGATGTAAGCTAATAAAAAAAGAAACAAGAAAAAAATCAACTACAACTTATTTTAAAGAAACGAAAACAAAACATAAACGTATAATAAAAAAAAACATTTAAGCCTAAGTTATTGTAATTGTAATGGAATGATGCAAATATACATACGACAACCTATATTTAATTTTAAACACGTCTTGTTTCCTCCTTGGGATATTCCGAAATGGGTGCCTGATCTTCGAATTTATACGATTTTTATCTATATACTTACTTTATTATATATATATACATATATATAAAGTAATGCCTGCTTTTATTTCATTCACCTATACATGTTATATTTACATTTTTACATTCACCGTTTTGCTTTTTCCTCTATTTTTAACGATCGTTTGTATGACAGCTATATGATATAGTAGTCCGATTTTCATAAAGTTTTACACAAAATTCTAAATTAATATATAATGTCCATATATTAAGTTTGATAAAAATCTGTTGAAAACTGGACAAGTTATAATTTTTTCTATAAATCGTCCGATTGTTCCTATATATATATATATATATAGTCCAGCGATTCGCCATGGTCCGAATTATATACTAGTATAATTTTATAGAAGAATAACTCCATAGTTTCATTGAAATAGCTTGCTCTTTAATTGGTTCAAAACAAATCTCTCACGTATTTATAATTCCCAACTGGTTCAAACATCCCCGGAACGAAGTGACTGCTGCCGGCCGAGTATCAGATATGTGTTGTGTTACAAAAGTTGCAAGTCATTGTTTACAAGTGTTCAAAGTTAGTAACTGATCATACATACATACTTACTGGTCATAGATATTTACTGATCATAGTTACTTACTAGTCATAGATACTTACTGATCATAGTTACTTACTGGTCATAGATACTCACTGTTCAGACTTACTTACTGCTCATAGTTAATTAATGTTCAGAGTTACTTAATGATCATAGTTCTACAAATCGTCCGATTGTTCCTATGGCAGCATATATATGTATATATATAGTCCACCGATCCGCCATGGTCCGACTTATATGTTAGCAAAATTATATAGAAGAATAACTCCATAGTTTCATTGAAATAGCTTGCTCTTTAATTGGTTCAAAACAAATCTCGCACATGTTTATAATTCCCAACTGGTTCAAACATCCCCGGAACGAAGTGACTGCTGCCGCCCGAGTCTTAGAAATGTGTTGTGTTAAAAAAGTTGCAACTCATTGTTTACTAGTGCTCAAAGTTAGTAACTGATCATACATACATACTTTATAGCCATAGATACTTACTTACTGATCATAGTTACTTTCTGATCATAGTTACTTAATGTTCATTGATACTTACTGTTGAAAGATACTTACTAATAGCATTCCTGGAGTCGATACTTATCTATATTTAATATCACAATTTTTTCTACAAATTAAATGTTTTTACCAATTTTGGATATTTTTAAAGATATAAAAGAACAATATTCATTCTTAGATATTTCAGTCTGAATAAATTGAGAAATTAAAAATATCCTTTTATTCACTCAACTATTCTAAAGTTTAGCAGAATATTAAGTGCAAAAGAAGTTTAATCTGCATCAATTTAAATAAAATAACAAATTTATTTTAATATTTGCCCAAAACTTAACAAAAATGTGTACAAAAACTCTAATGTCACAATTTCAAATCGCAACGGCTGGTTATCGATCGCATTATCGATTTTCAGAAATCGCAAAGCGGCGTGGTCACACTGTTCCGAGATTTGACTTTTGCGCTAACGGAAGCGAAGAAGAAGAGAGCCAGGCTTGAGACGCGTTCGAGAAAGGGCCAAAACTACAGAATAATAAGTTAAAACTTGACAACAAACGCAATGCTGGCCACGACACATCGACCGCAGTTGACCAAAATGCGGACTAGCGCGGAGGCGATGGCTTGCCTGGCCCGGGAAAAGGCGCCTGGACAGGTGGTGGCCGCGCAACAAGTGGCTCCTGCGCTCAGCACCAACAACAACAACAAAGACCTGGCCACCATAATGGATGCGCTGCAGACGGACTACGGGAGCTACAAGTATACGGTGTACCGCTGTGCCAGCAAGTTTGTGGCCCTGCAGAAGGTATTTCACAGTAAGTACGAGAGCAGCAACCTCCAAGAGTGTCCTCTGAAATTTGTGAGCATGCGTTCCTATATTCCAGCTGGAAAAATACCGTATAAGCTGCTGCTGGCGATATTGGAACGCCATGGAATGAGCGGCAGCTGGGAATTGATGGTGCCACCATTCCAGCTGACATCGCTGCTGCACGACGTCTATTTTGCCTGCGAGAAGCTGGGACACTTTGCCCAGGATAGCTGCTATCAACTGGACAGGGCCACCGGAATGCTGGCCAACTTCTTCTGGAACGTCTACGATCCGTAAGGGCTCTCTCTCTCTGACTCTCTCTTCTCTTTTTTAAGCCTTCTTCGCTCTATATACTCCAGACAACGTCGACATTCCATCTCCTTGCTGGAGATCAAGATCACCTTCATCCTGCTCTGCAAGCTATACAGCAGTGATCACCTGGTGGCCGACTTCTTTGGTCTGCTGGCTGATCCCAAGACACAGATCATGTCGCGCTACGCCTTCGAGCAACTGCTGGCCACGCTGAGCAAGCTGCTCAGCTATCTGGGCGAGGCCAAGGCCTACGGCGTCCACAATCTGCCCCTGACGATGGAGCAATGCTTTGCCCGCTGTCCCCATGGCATAGCCGGTCTCGGCGAACAGCAGTTCCACAAACTCTGGACGGGAGCGGGCCTTCAGACACGCTTCCTCATCTACGGCAACCTGCTGGCTTTGATCAAGCGCATTGAAGACACAGAGCATTTAATACATAGCAACAGTTGCGCAGGCTGCCGCAAGGAGCACATTGTGGGGATTCGCTTTCGCTGCCAGGTGTGCCGGGACATCTCACTGTGCCTTCCCTGCTTCGCGGTGGGCTTTGCGGGCGGCCGTCACGAGCCATGCCATCGGATGTGTGAAGTCTTTGTGGAGGATCAGCCGCCGCAGCGTTGGACACGGCATTTGGCCAGGCTATGCGGTTGGCTTTGGGTGCCGCGGCGCAAGACGGCCCAGGAGGAGGAGCGTCGTGGCTTCTGCAATGCCCAGGAAAGTGGCGCCGCAGTGGGTCAATCCGCTGTCACGCCCATACCCGCCGAAACGCGGAGTCTTCACGAGAAGGAGCAGCAGCAGCAGCAAAGCAAGGAAATCCTACAGCAGCAGCAGGAGTTGTTGTCTCTAACTGGAATGGCCAGCAAGGCCTCGGCCAGCTGCAGTCCATCATTGATCGTCTATTGCAGCAGAATGCGTGAGTTCTGGAGAGGATTTATTCTCTTTCTGGTTCTTATAATAACCTTGGTTTTTTAGGAAACTGGAAACACAGCTTGAAATGGTGGCCACCTCGTCCAGCTCGGAAATCTCCGAGTTCTTGAGTGCACACCAAAGGTTTCTGTTGCAAATCATTGAGGATATGCGACAGCTATCGGTGGGTTTAGCTTTAACGTTTAATTTTTAAGGGAACTTGTGGTAACTTTTTACATTTATAGCGTTCTTCCCCGGCCTCCCTGCCAGGAGCAGCAGCACCACCTACAGCTCCTTCATTAACTACTGCCTTGGTTAGCTCCACCTTCTTGAGCTCCAGTACGCCGCAGAGGCAGCAGCTCTTCGATATGTATGCACCCGTGGGAGCCAATTTGACGCATTCCAGTAAGCATTGGATTGGGGTATACTATCCTTACCTTGTTCATAATCCGTTCTTTACAGTAAATGGAGCCGAGCTGAATCGCAGCTATTTGGAGGCCAACAAGTCGGATTACTCCCTGAACGACATCAGTTTGTGGTTTGATCAGCGTCGAGCCAGCCAGGGACCAGGTTCCCTTCCTTTAGCCCCGGTCTCTGCCCTGCTAGAACGTCAGCAGCCAGGAGGAGTCGGGGCTGCTGCACCGGGAGATGGCATGGTCAACTTTAAGCTGCTGGTGCACAAGGTTAAAGAGATTGTGGAGGATTCCTACAGCGACAATGCCGAGCTCTCGGCGGCCACACAGAACCTAGAGAATGTCCTGGACAGCATAATTAAGAGCGAGGAGCAGCAGCGACGCCTGAGCACGTGAAAAAAAGTGAGATTCCAGCCCGACCAAGTCCAACCTTGGACCTGTGAGCTCGTAACTTATTAATGTAGCTTTAGTAAGGGATTTCCAGTTTTTAAATTGTTTACAAATTTAATGCTTTATGTTTATGCTTTAAGTGTACAAAAACAGTCGGACGAGATCGCAATATCATAAAGATTATGGCATGCCACCTATTCCTGATCATTCTGCCTCCTTATCACAGTTGCCGCCAGCACATCGCTGACCATTTGCAGACTTTGGATATGCTGCAGTTGTTCCAGTCGCTTCTCCGCTCCGTTTCCCGTCCGCAGTAGGGCTGTCCAGGCCTGCAGCTCCTCGCCGAGACTTGCTTCCAGTTCGAGAGCAGCGACGTCGTCCGCAGGCGAAGGGTTATGCTCGCTCATCTCGAGCAGGGTGAGATTGCAGTGCAGCTGCAGGAGATCGCGCATCAGGTGGTGGAGCAGCAGGCGCAGACGGGCTTCTGTGGGCGCGTACACGTGCCAATGCTGTCCGGGATCGTCGCGGAGCAGGAGGATGCCGCACCATTGCGACAGCGGCTGGCGGTTGTGGAAGATGCGCTGCACGGAATCAGGGTCAGATGCCAACTCGAAATCGGTTTCCGAGCAGGTGCCATCTAGGAGTTGCAAGTGGGAGGCTGTCGAAGGATAGAAGCTATTAGTTTCCTTTTGAATGTAAAGGTGTGGCACAACTCACTTTGATCCTGCGCCTGGATCAGCTCGAACTGTAGCTTGGACGCCAGCAGCTGCTCGAACCGCGTGCAGTCCTGAGCCGCCTGGAACTCTAGGCGCAAAGTACAATGCGCCTTTTGGGTGACGATAACGGCAAGAAAGTCCTGGTGCAATGTGGATGCGGCAAATGTGGGTGCCTGGGCCTCCATGTCGTCCAGAAGCTTTCTCGCATCCAAACTCACCAAATGCAGCTGCCTGATCTCCGTCGCCGCTTCCGCTTCCAGCTGTTTCTCCTGCACGCTCCTCACCTCATACACCGCCATCAGGTGAAGCTGTTCCGCCTGCAGGAGGTCGGCAAGCCGCAGGCGTACAACCAACACCGCCGAGCACTCGGGCGGCAGCTGTGCGGCCTTTGCCACCTCCCGCCAATTCAAGCGACGACTGTGCTGCTCCTGACATGCCCAGAACTGCGCCAGCTCATCATAATCCTCGGGTGGCTGGCTATCCGCCTGCAGCGGCAGCTCGTACAGGCGATGTTCGAGGCTGATGTTTGGTGGCGGTGGCTCCAGACGCACCAGCGGACGCAACTCCTGCACAATGCTCATCCGATGGCTACCGGCTATGTTGACCATCAGGCATCCGCATACCAGATAGTCACCGCACACACGCGTCCACACGTCGCCGAAGCGCCGTAACAGCTGCTTCTCCTCCAGCAACAAGGAACGCTGGCCGGGTGGCCCAAAGGTCTGCAGATCCTGGCTGCGGGCAAAGTCCCGCTGCGTCTGCGCTCGCTGACTAGAGAGCTCCGCTCGGGCGCTATGCACTTGCTGCACCAGGCGCTCAAATTTCTGCGACGACACGGAAACTGTGGCGGAGGCGGAGGCAGAGGCGCTGGCCTTGCTGGAGGTGCTGGGGCCCTCGTCCAGCGGGGGCTCCTGAAAGTCCGTGCACAGGCGCTTGCCACTGCTACCGAACTGTAGCTCCACGTAGGCCTGGTAGGGTATGGGGCCGCCAATCATGCGGAACAAGGCCACATCCAGGTGCTGAGCCACCAGCTCAAAGTTGCAGCCATGCCCCTTGGGCCGACGTAGGACGAGGAACAGCTCCCAGCAGTGCAGCAGTATATAGATCTGATCCTGCTGCCACACGTATTTGCCTATCTGGATTGGTAGGTCCTCTGGCGACGACAGCATGCTGCAGTCCAACTCCTGGCCATTAAAAGAGTCTGGCTCCTTTGGCAAGAAGTTGCTCACGGGTCCACTGTAGCTCTCCAGCTGCACGGCCCACCGCTGCAACCGAGTACCCCTCAAATCGATGTGATGCAGGAGCTGCTTGCGCCGGAATTCGTAGAACTTTAGGTTCCGAGCGAGCACCAAGCTGGAGGTGGCATTATGTCGATCCCGACCGCGCTCCAGGTGCAGGTTGCGGCTGAAGGCGATGCTCGAGCGCTGCAGAAGCAGCTCCGGCACGTGCTCCTCAACGAAGGGCAGCATGGACGCGGAATCCACAGAGGTAAACAAAGCGGCACAGCATTAAATCAAAGGTCGAGATTTGGCGGGTGCCAGAGATGGCACTATATCGATAAAACAATGAAACTTATATCGTTAAAGGTTAATTGATAGAGGTGGCAGAACTTTCGACGTTTTTACTGCCATATGTTAATTTTCTTTAATTATTATTTTGTTATGTTATGTTAAATATTTTCTTCATAAAGCTGTTCAGCTATTAACAATTGTATTATTTTAATTAATTATTCATAGCTTCCGTTTTCTATCAACAAAGTTAGAAATCCTTCGGGGGATTTTGTGAATACAGAACAGTCACATTATTATTATTATTTACTTCTTTTTTTTTAATTTTTGCAATTGTAGAATTTGTAGAATTATTTTGCATTTTGATGACAGGTGTGCAATTGACCTTAGAAGTCGAATTTATTTTTATTGTTGCACAAATTTACCCCATTTTAATTTTAATTTTCTTGATTTTAATTAATTTTTGTTTGATATTTCAATCAAGAACCACCAGGAATAGCATCCAAGGGTATGGGACTGGTATACAAGTATTTTAAGAGCCTTTTTTCTGAACATTTTCTAAACTTTATTAAGCGAAATATAAAAAAAAACCCAAGTAATCCGAACTTGGGATTTCAGTTGCGACATATGATTAGAATTATTTATTTATGTGTACATACATACATAAATCGTTCGTATTTGATTAAAACATTTAATTATTTAAATTGAAAAAATCCCATTTCGAAAAACACCCAAGTAATCAAAGATTGGAAATTTCGTCTCTTGCTATAATTAATTCATTTCATTTATTTTGAAAAAGATTGTTCTTATTTTATAACAATATTTTGGATTGTTTTCATTTCTTTTCAATAGATTTTATTTTTTGCAATAATTAAACCTAACAAAAAGAACATTTTTCGTTTGTATATCGTTCATTACGATGAGTTCAAACGATGATTTCATTTTTTGAGAAAATGTAATATATTTTGTAAATTTACTGAAGCTAACACAATAAGAAGTACAAGCACTCGTTACCGAATGTATTCTTTTAGAATTTAATTCATAAATGATAAGTTTTTATATATTCCTTCTATATCGTTACAGCTATCGATTCCGGCGATTATCAACAAGTTGTGCCTATCGGGCAAACATCTGTTCTCATGTAAGCGACAAGAAGAAGACGGGACACAAACATCGCCGACCGTATTCTTCGCCGCCCGCGCGCGTCTTCGGCTCCCTGCTCCACACCGCTCCCACCCACTCCCTCCAAGTGCTCCATCGCCGTGTGTGTGCGCGAGATTTCTGTTTCAGGTTCTGGTTGTATCTGTTACTACTGCTGCTGCCATTGCTGTTGCTGTTGCTGTTGCGTTCCTGCTGCATCTTCGTTTTCTCTTCTTCTTATTAAAAATCGCGAATGCTGCCTTACACTGCCAACTGCAGCTGCAACTGTTAACTGTAAACCGAATTGCGAGAAAAACATAATTTTATTTGTTCAGTGCAGTGCAATTACAAGAACAAACGGGAAAACAAGAAGCAGAAGAAGAATAACAATAACAACAAAAAGGCAAAGCAACTGAAGCGCAAACACACACACACACACACACTCGCTGACGGGCAGTAGCAGAGCTAGAGTAGGGATTGCGAAAGCGAGATAGAAATAAAGTAGGCATAATTTATAGCACACACAAAACGGCTAATTATAAGAAAAAAGAAAAGACTAAAGAGAATCGATAAAAAAGGAACGGGAGCCGAAGGAAAGCCCAGAAAGTATTACCCACGGCTACTACGGTGACGGCTGCAAAGAAACAAACAAACGGACGCCCACCACAGCTGTGAATCAGGTCGCCCCTGCTGCTCCGCTTGCTTCTCCTGTCTCCTCCTCCAGTTTCCGATTCGGATTCGAATTCGGTCTCACACACATTATGGTAAGTACGTGCTGCCCGCTGCCGCCTTTTTGAAGTGGCTCTGGCCAAAAGCGGCAATGGCAACAACTCCCACTCGCGCCGCAGCCCAACAGCCCGCTGGCTTGGCCATGTTCCATGCTCCAAGCTGGCTTCCCAGTCGCAGTTCCCGTTTAAACTTCGTGGCCAGCAGTTGGTTGCCTTCCAGGCACACACACTTGCACAGTGTTACCTCTAAAAAGCGAGCACCTGGAAAGGTTACAGCTGGAAGCCTAGAGATTTGATCAAGTTATCAAGCTTATCGACAGAAATAACTGTAACTTCAGAAGACTGTACCAAAAGTACGATTTTTGTTGTTGTTTGTGATAAATGTAAACAGTCCAAGCTGATAACTACAGTAAAACCTTCTCAACTGAAAGCCAATATGTTTTTTAGTAGATTTACTAATAGAATTAGGAAAATAAGTCATTTATGCATGTTTTGAAATTATCGGGGAGAGAAAATTAACGATTTTATTTATAATTACTTAGAAAGATTTTATATTATACAAAATTACACCTAAGCGAGTCAAAACTGTACCAAGATTAGTGTTTAAACTATTGGGTTCTGTAATCAAGGCCCCCAAAAGTATAGTTTGTCAAGTAATTCTTTGCAAAACGAAAAATCCCTCACAATTTTGGGTTTAAACTGAAAAATTATTAACAAATACAGGAATTTTTAAAAATTTCTTTTATAATATTATTAGGATAACTTTAATCTATAAATATAAAAAACGAAACTTAAATATTTTAACTTAAAACATAGTAAAAAATAACATAATCAAAAACATTGCAATTCGTATGCTGTCAATTAATTCTTTGCAAAATCCAAAAACGTTATAGTTTAACAAGGATAACTTAAAAACTATAATAGCTGGCATTATTAGCCCCTTCAAGTTGAATTTTCTCCCATTTCTCCTGTATTACTTTAAGTAAACCCTTTCTATTTGTTGGACTCCGTTTAGTCACTTTCTTTTCCAAAAAATCTGTTTTACAATTAAACAGGAGCCAGGTCCTGCACAGCTGCGATTTGAGCTTGGGTTCGTTTGCCTGGTGCAGTTAATATTTATTTCCTCCTGGACGAGTTGCGTCATGCAGACCAAATTTCTCCGCGCTTCTGGTCAATTCCTTTTTAAGGATGTTCAATTAAAACTCCTTCGTCATTATATCATTAAAAATCCTTCGCGTCTGGAGAGCTTTGGTAATCTGACCGTAGAATTGTACAGGTGAAGTCTATTTTTCTTTTCAGCCCGTTAATTAATATTATACAGTGTTCTTAACTTAATATGAAACATTTCTGAATTAATTACCCTTTGAAATGGTTAAAGTAAACCAATTGTATGGTATTATCGTCAATTCGTTTGCCGGGCATGATTAAAATTTTGGACTCGATCAAACACGAACTTTTTCCAACGAAATTTTTCAAGTATATAAAAGTAAAGACCACTAAGAAGTGGCAAGCGTTAATTTTCCTCAGAATTAGCTTTGCGTTGCTTAATTGTAGGAATCTCTTCAAACCCTTTTTGCATTTTGCAAAGAATTAATTGACAGCATACGAATTTTTGTTTTTTTGACTATGTTTAAATTAAAATATTTCAGTTTTGTATTTTATATTTATAGATCAAAGTTATCCTAATAATATTATAAAAGAAAATTTAAAAAAATCTTTTATTTATTCATACATTTTCAGTTTAAACCCAAAATTGTGAGGGATTTTTCGTTTTGCTAAGAATTATGTTACTTGACAAACTGATTGTCAACGCTCGTAACCTTGTTGCTTTGACATTTCTGTTTCGTATATTTCTATTGCACACCTGGCTTTCATACGAACTTTCAAGTTTTCTTATGCATAACGAATGCGATCTACATATATTGGAAATAATCAGTGCATCGTAGCTCCTCTCTCTGTGTATGGGTGCATATCTGTAATCGAGACTAATTTATATACATTATATAAATCCGCAGAGCCCGCCCATCGTCACGCGACGCAGCGCCCAGCAGGCAAAGATCCAGACACGCGCCATGGTCAAATCGAAGTCGGCCGCTGGCGGTACGACGGCCGCAACGGCAGCTGGAATGATTGGCGGCAGCGGGAACAGCAGCAACAGCAGCAGCGGCGGCGGCAGCAGCAGCGGGAACAGCATCAGTGGGAACGGCAGCAACGCCGGCGATCAGCGAAAGGCTGGCAAACCGAGCGCAGCGCTCTTGGAGGCAAAACGTCGTGCACGGAATATGCTCAAGAATCAGGGAAACGCCATGGCCGTGCAGGAGACGGTGACCGATATATTCCAGAATGTAAGCTCCTTATCCTGGCTATCCACTAACATCTAATCAATGAGCATAATCCTCGTAGGCCATGAATGCCAAGGGATTGGTGCGAGGACCCACGGCTCTGATCTATGACGAGACCATGAGCCAGCACTGCTGTCTGTGGGACAAGGAGCACTACGAGTGTCCCGAGCGCTTCACACGCGTCCTGGAGCGGTGGGTTCGAAGTCCTAAATATTATGGAATATCTCATATTTAATTAATTTATTTATCTTTCGCATTCAGTTGCCGTGAACTGAGTCTGGTGGAGAGATGCAACCAGTTGCCTTCAAGGGCCGCCACCAAGGAGGAGATCCTGCTCCTGCACACCGAAGAGCACTTTGAGCGGCTAAAGCAAACCGCTGGCATACGCGACGATGAGCGCATGGAGGAGCTGAGCTCCCGCTACGATTCAATCTTCATTCATCCGGTAAGCAAATCGATTAAGGTGCAGGTACCAGGTACCACGTACCCCTTAGGGCTTCCCTGACGATTTGTTTGTGCTTACGCTTGATTGCCTGGGAAGATCGTGCTGTTTTTAGTTCATTTGCTGCTTGCGGAAAATGTAAATTGATGCAGATTAGATTAGAGAGGCTTGAGTACAGTGCGTTTCAGTGAAACCTGAAATGTAATCTCTTTCCTCACTTTTATTGTCTCAGGCGATGTAGTCATTTATTCGTTATAAATAATTGGTATATATTGAATTAATGTGAGCTTGAGGCATTTCTCTAATCCATATTTATAAATTGTATATATGTTTGCTCTCAAATTGGTTAATTTGAGTTTTTCTATTTATTTTTACTAGCAAATATCAAGTTTAAATGTGTTGCCTCGCCTTTATCTATTATATTTCATTTTTTTAAAATATACATATAAAAAGGTGGTAAAAATGCAGATCAGATTTTGAGTCGAAAGGAAGGAGTCTGCTTAAAAAACATTGAAGGAGTCGTTTCCGATCCTATAAATCATATATATTCTTGATCAGCATCAACCGGAGAATCTTTCTAGGCATGTTTGGTGAAAAATAAAATTTTTAAAAATTTTTAAAAATTTTATAAGGGGTTACATCGTTAAAATTGTAAAAAATTTGCAAAAAAAAATGAAGTTTTTTAAATTGGAAATTGAGTATGCAGATTTGTTAAACTATAAAAAACTAACATAGAAACTTTTTCCGAATTGAATTTAATGCTTTTTTGACTTAGTTATGAGATTTTTAAATTTTGATTTATCGAAAAATTTCGTATAAAAATATTGTTAATTTCGGTTAAAAAATGGTAATGGACCTTCAGTCAGAAGCTTAAAAGAAAGTGAAGGAGTCATTTCCGACCCTATAAATCATATATATTCTTGATCAGCATCAACAGGCGAATCTTTTAAGCCAACTCCGGCCGAAAAAAATTTTTTTCCCAAATTTTCCATTTTTGTAAAAAAAGGAAAGGGGTCATGAAAATTTGCAAAAATCGGACAAAAATTCACATTTTAAATGGAGTATGCAGTTTTGTTAGCCTGCTAAAAATTAACCTTCTGCCGCTTTCCGAATTGAAATTAATGCGTTTTTGGCTTAGTTATGAAATTTTTAAATTTTGATTTTTCGAAAAATTTGGTATAAAAATATTGTTAATTTCGGTTAAAAAATGGTAATGGACCTTCAGTCAGAAGCTTAAAAGAAAGTGAAGGAGTCATTTCCGACCCTATAAATCATATGTATTCTTGATCAGCAACAACAGGAGAATCGATCTAGGAATGTTTGGTAAAAAATAAAATTTTCAAAAATTTTTCAAAATTTTATAAGGGGTTACATCGTTAAAATTGTAAACTTCTAGCAAAAAATTAAATTTTTTTAAATTGAATTTTGAGTATGCAGATTTGTTAAACTATAAAAAACTAAAATAGAAACTTTCTCCGAATTGAATTTAATGCTTTTTTGACTTAGTTATGATATTTTAAAACTTTGATAAATCGAAAAAATTTCTGTATACAAATACATACTCCAAATTCACTTGCAAACTGTAAGGGTACACAATCTTCGGCTTCCCGGAGCTAGATTTATTTCTGCTTCTCATATGATATAGGTTATATATATTAAAAACAAATGCATATTTTATTTATAACTCAATCTTGTACAGCAAATCAGTCTCTGCTATCTCCACCCTATCTCTATACGTATGAAACGCACTGTAAATTCATAAAACCCGTATTGTATTGTGTCTATACTTAAGTTTTAGATAAGGTTTTGTTCCAGATTACAAATTACCCTGTGTTGATAACCTCCCATTCTCTCTCTCTTTTCTCTTCTCTCCTGCTCTTAGTCCACCTTTGAGCTATCTTTGCTGGCCACCGGCTCCACCATCGAGCTGGTGGATCAACTGATCACTGGAAAGGCACAAAATGGCATGGCAATCATCCGGCCGCCGGGTCATCATGCCATGAAGGCCGAATTTAATGGCTATTGCTTCTTCAACAATGTGGCTCTAGCTGCCCAGCACGCCTTGGATGTGCACAAGCTGCAGCGCATCCTGATTATTGACTACGATGTCCATCATGGGCAGGGAACGCAGCGGTTCTTCTACAACGATCCCAGGTGAGTCAAAGCAAGCCTAAGCCTAACAGATATCCCTAACTATTGATCCTTTCAGGGTGGTTTACTTCTCCATACATCGCTTCGAGTATGGCAGCTTTTGGCCGCACCTCAAGGAGTCCGATTACCATGCTGTAGGATCTGGTCCTGGCACTGGCTACAACTTCAATGTCCCCCTGAATACCATTGGAATGACGAATGCCGATTATTTGGCCATTTTTCAGCAGTTGCTGCTGCCCGTGGCCCTGGAGTTTCAGCCAGAACTGATCATCGTCTCCGCGGGCTATGATGCTGCCCTGGGCTGTCCCGAGGGTGAAATGGAGGTGACTCCCGCTTGCTATCCTCATTTGCTGAACCCACTACTCCGACTCGCCGATTCTCGAGTAGCTGTCGTCCTCGAGGGTGGCTATTGCCTGGATTCCCTGGCCGAGGGTGCCGCCTTAACTCTTCGCTCTTTGCTCGGTGATCCCTGCCCGCCTCTGGTGGAGCCACTGGTCCTGCCGCGTCCAGAGCTGACCAAGGCTCTGCTCAACTGCATTTGCCTGCACAGGCCGCACTGGCGTTGCCTGCAGCTCCAGAGAACGTACGAGGTGGCCGAGCTGACCCAGCTGGTCGACCAGGAAAAGGAGAAGGATAACGATCTGCATCAAATTGTGCGCATTTGGATTGGCGGACCGCCACCCGTGGATCGTTATCCCACGCGCGACACGGCCATCCCCTTACCGCCGGAGAAGAAAGCCCGGAACTTGGCCCGCTTGCAGGTGCTGCGCACAGAGACGAAGCTATCGATGCCGCCGATCCGGGTTTGCTATGCCTACGATCCCCAAATGTTGGAGCACTCGAATCTCCATGATCCCGGGCATCCAGAGCAGCCCTCGCGTATTCTGCATATCCATCAGATGCACGAGGAGTACGCCCTGCTGGCAAGAATGAAGCAGCTGCCAACGGGCAGGACTGCAACCACGGATGAGGTTTGCCTCGCCCACACACGTTCCCATGTAAATTCTGTGCGTCGCCTGCTCGGCCGTGATCCGGAGGAACTGCACCAGCTCGGAGCGGGCTACAATTCAGTGTATCTCCATCCGCGCACCTTCGATTGCGCCACCCTGGCCGCCGGAGCTGTTCTGCAGGCGGTGGAGAGTGTCCTGCGCGGTGAATCCCGCAGCGGTATCTGCAATGTCCGGCCGCCGGGTCATCATGCCGAGCCGGATCAACCGCATGGGTTCTGCATCTTCAACAACGTTGCGATTGCCGCTCAGTATGCCATCCGAGACTTTGGCCTGGAGCGTGTGCTCATCGTTGACTGGGATGTCCACCACGGGAATGGCACGCAGCACATCTTCGAGTCGAATCCCAAGGTGCTGTATATCAGTGTGCATCGCTACGAGCACGGCGCCTTCTTCCCCAAGGGACCGGATGGCAATTTCGATGTGGTGGGCAAGGGGGCTGGCAGGGGCTTCAATGTAAATATACCCTGGAACAAGGTGAGTGCTTGTATTATCATTATCTGCTTACCTTGCTAATATGTGTTCTCTTTCCTTTGTAGAAGGGCATGGGCGACCTGGAGTATGCCCTGGCCTTTCAGCAGCTCATCATGCCCATTGCCTATGAGTTCAATCCCCAATTGGTGCTGGTCTCGGCCGGTTTCGATGCTGCCATTGGCGATCCACTCGGCGGGTGTAAGGTCACGCCCGAGGGCTACGGCCTGCTCACCCACTGGCTTTCGGCGCTGGCCGGTGGCAAGATCATCGTCTGCCTGGAGGGTGGCTACAACGTGAATTCCATTTCGTACGCAATGACCATGTGCACGAAGACGCTGCTGGGCGATCCGGTGCCCACGCCCCAGCTAGGTGCGATGGCACTGCAGAAACAGCCGACCGTGGCCTTCCAGAGCTGTGTGGAGACACTGCAGGCGTGCCTGCAGGTGCAGGGCCAGCACTGGCAATCGCTCAAGTTCGTGGGCAAACGGCTGCCTCGTGAACCGTTCGTGGGCGAGAACAACAACGAGGATTTTCTTACCGCCTCCTTGCGGCAGTTGAATATTACAAATGACAGCGTTCCGCGGGTAGCGGGCGGAGCCGAAGGCGATCGGACCGACTCCGGCGAGGAACGGCCCAGCGGGAGCAAGCCCAAAGTCAAGGTAAAAACGCTCACCGAGTACATGGCGGAGCACAAGGAGGTATGACGAACATCATGCACAGACCATCATCCCCCCTAGCTAATCGGTTGTCTCTCTCTCTCTCTCTCTCGTTGTCTCCTTCATTTCCATGCCACCATTATCTCTAAAAATTAAATCCCTCATCTTGCGGTGTCGCTCTCATCTTAACTTTAACCCTGGCCTGGGCTCACCCAGGCCCTCGAGCAGAATGAGATGTTCGCCGTGTATCCGCTCAAGACGTGTCCTCACTTGAGCCTGTTGCGACCGGAGGAGGCGCCACTAAGTAAGACCCCCGATTCCCATCAGTTCAGTCCAGCTTCTGCTTCACTATGTCCCACGTAAATGTTGTGTGCTTTTGTTTCTTTCGGGCATTCTTCTATATTTGAGATTTTATATAGATTTCTTCATTACAAAATAATTTAATGGTTAATTTAAACAGAAATTTGGGAATTTAAACCAGTTAAAGGTCCCACTCTTGCGGTTAAAGGGTTTCGCGCCCACAAGCATTTATAAACAAACTTATTTTAAAAAGTAGATTTTGTGTACATAATGATATGAGCCTTTTTTATAAATATCAAAACAACTTATTTAAATTCGAGAAAGTTAAAGATTATTTATCATATAGAAGTATAGAAGAAAAGTGCTCATAATATGTAATTGCTTTCTTAGTCCTTAAATTTTTTCTCTTTTGGATTCTTGGTGTTTTTTTAAGTGTTTTATGTTCTATGTTTGTTTTTAAGTTTAGTGCAAAGTGTCAACACTTATGCTTCTGTTTTTCAGCTGTTTTTGTTTCATTTATGCTTTTTAAATGCTTTTTCTTGCTTCAAAGTTATTAATGCTGATGATTTCGCATGCTCTCCGGCTTTTTGTACATATGCTTTTTGTGTCTGAATTAATTATTTCCCATTAAGAAATGTATTTTTATATATACTTTTACAATTGTCTCGCCCAACAGCAATAAATACAAAGGCGGCGTGCAGCGAGTGCGATTCGCTGGCGGAGAACTGGGTGTGTCTGAGCTGTCGGACGGTGGCCTGTGGGCGTTACGTGAACGAGCACATGCAGATGCACTCCCTGTGCTCCGATCATCCACTGGCTCTGAGCCTGAGCGACCTGTCCGTGTGGTGTTATGCGTGCTCCGCCTACCTCGATCATCCCCGCCTGTACGTCTTCCTCAATGCAGCGCATATGGACAAGTTCGAGGAGCCCATGGCCTGGACATATGCCTGCCAGCGACGCGAGGACGGTTGCTACGGACTAGGACCGGACGGACGAAACGAGGATGACGGCCCGGGGAGCAGCAGCAGAGCTGGGACTATCTGCATCCAGCTGGAGCGGAATAACAACGACAGTAACTGACCCATGGCCCTCGTCCGCGTGCTGGACGCCCTCACGAACTACATGTGCACACTCTGCCCGCCGCTCAGACACCTGATCCAGTTTCTGGCCGAGCACCTGTGGCCGCTGCTGGAACGCATTTACCTAAACCTTCTCCACTATTTCCTGGCCCCATGAGAGAGGGATAGATAGATAGCTATCCCGCCTTCCTACCCCTAGCACATTTCCGCTAAGCAAAATAAAACATGAAGTTATTGTTGATTTGGGAGCTGAAATCCTGATCCCGGCTCCCTCTACTGTATACAAATTAAAATTGTTAATGTTATCAGCTAATTACTGTCTAATAAAGATTTCGATAGTTTTTGGAGTATTTTTTGACCCGCAAACGTTTAAAAATTTGTTTGAAATTAGAAAACGTTCCAATATAGTTTTTCCCAATCTTATTAAAAAGCACTATGCTGTCGGGAGCTCCATCTTTTCTAAAATCCAGAGTCAAGATCTCATTCTATGATTAACTCAACTTTATTGACAGTCATATTATCGTAAAGTCAAACAATTAACTAATTCAAGTCATTATTTCTTTCTCTGCTGCTTGCCCTTGCGCTGGGAGGGTGGTGTGGCTGGCGGCTGTTTCCTCTTGGTAGGCTTCCTTCGCCGTTCACCAGCGTCACTGGAGGCGTCACTGTCGCTGTCTGAGAGCTCCTCGCTGTCGTCCTCCTCATCCGAATTGCTGTCTTCACTGGATTCCTCTTCCTCCGGTTTTGGTACCGCCTTCTTGGGCTGCTTCTTTTTTGTGTTTTTCTTAGGTTCCGTTTCAACTTCCGTCTTTTCGTCCTGCTCATATTCAATGGTCACGAAGCCCCGCGGTGCCGGTACCTTCGCGGACTGACTGGTCTGCGCTTTAACCGCCGGTTTGTCCAACACACTGACGCGCTCCACCTCGGGACGGGCATTGCCGAACTGACCGAGATCCAGCAGACCCAGGCCCGTGGGACGACAATCGATGTTGGTGCTAGCCAGCTCCTCCAGTTCTCGTTTTTCGAGACAACAACGCCAGAGTTTGATCTCACCAGAGCTACGAGATATGAGAAAGTGTCAGAGGATAGTTAAGGCTTCTGCTTCCAAAGAAATCTCACCTGGAGACGGTGGCCAGTGTTTCGTTCAAATAGGCCATGGCCTTCACCCGCGACTCGTGAGCAGGAATGATTTTTGGCTGTCAAGAGAAGGAGAGAAGACCTTTTATACAAAAATAATGTCCATGAATATATATTTTCACTCACCGCTGCCTCTATACCGTCCTCCCCGTCCTCCAGTGAAATCCAGGCAATGCTGCCGTTCTCCAGGCCAGTCAGGCACTCCTTGGCATCCAGCCAACTGACGCAGACGGGCTTGCCCGGCGTCTTCGCGCGCCTAACCACATTGGCGTTCTTGATGTCCCAAATCTCCAGCAGAAGTGGACCGCTTATTGTAAAGTGATCACCGCTCGTGGACCACGACAGGCACTCCGGCGCACTGCCCAGTGTTTTCTTGCTCTTCAGGTTCGTCTTGTAGGCCACTCGGCCCTTCACCAGATTCCAGGTATTGAGTACCTGATCACCGCCCAGGGATAGGGCCAGCTTGCTGCTGGGATGGCAGCTGATGTGGGTGACTGGCTGGCCGGCATGGGCCTTGCGCCAGTCGCCCTCGGTGGTCCAACTGCCCAACCGTGTGGCAATCATATGGCCATCGGCGCTGCCCGAGAGCAAGTGCGTTAGGTCCGGGGAAAAGGTCAGCGAGTTCACTGTGCCAGAGTGCGAGAGCAGGATCTGGGACTGCTTTCGGATGCGCATGTCGTAGATAAAGATGCGATCATCGATTCCGCCGGTGGCCACCCAGGGACCCTGAACAGCCAAGGATTTTATTGAGCCGGCGTGCGATTTGTCCGCAAATGTTTGCTTCAGTTTGAGTTTGTTGGACTTTTCGCCCTCCTCTTCCGGCGCCGTGACTTGATAGCCCAGCAGGAACTCATTGTAAGTGCTCACGATGATCTCGATGTCTGGCGGCATGCTGCTTTTATTTAAAATTGCTTTGTTTTTCAGCTTTTAACAATTTGTTTACGAGCGAAGCTGAAGGCGCTCAACTCAACACGTGCGCAAGCAGAGTGGCAACCCTGAAGGTACACAGGTGGCAGCACTGACCGTGAATACCGATATTAATTTGGTATTTTTTACAGAGGCCCGTTCAGGGTCACACTGATGCGGTAACAAGTGCAAAATTAACAATAATACAATTTTAAACCAATCCCCAAATGCGCGTAGGCAGCCTGCTGCGGTTCCGCTGCACCGCTCTAAGAAGCAACACCGCTCGGCAGCAGTATGTGCCACAACACAAGCCAGCGGTGGAGGATGACATCAAGCGGCTAGAGGATTTCCTGTTGTCCAAACCGAATGTTTTGGTTCTGACAGGCGCAGGGATCTCCACGGAATCGGGTGAGAATCTCGTATTTAATACATCCAACCAGCCAGTTAACAGTGATGATCATTAGGCATTCCCGACTACCGCTCCAAGGGCGTTGGACTCTACGCTCGGTCCAATCACAAGCCGGTTCAGCACATGGAGTTTGTGAAGTCGCCGGCGATCCGCAAACGCTACTGGGCCCGTAATTTCGTGGGTTGGCCCACGTTCTCCGCCACCCAGCCAAATGCCACGCACCATGCTCTGGCCAGATTCGAACGGGAGGAGCGCGTCCAGGCTGTGGTCACCCAGAATGTGGACCGACTGCACACGAAGGCGGGCAGCCGTAGCGTAATGGAGGTGCATGGCAGTGGCTTTGTGGTCAAGTGTCTGTCCTGTGATTATCGTATCGATCGTCACGAGTTCCAGAGCATTCTCGCTTCCCTTAATCCGGCCTTTAAGGACGCCCCCGACATGATCCGGCCCGATGGCGATGTGGAGATACCCGCGGAATACATCGATAACTTCCAGATACCCGCTTGCCCGCAGTGCGACGGTGATTTGAAGCCCGAGATTGTCTTCTTTGGGGATTCGGTGCCCAGGGCGCGGCTGGATAAGATTGCAGAGATGGTGTACAACAGCGATGGCCTCCTGGTGCTCGGATCCAGTCTCCTAGTCTTCTCCGGATACCGGATCGTGCTACAGACCAAGGATCTTAAGCTGCCGGTGGCCATAGTCAATATAGGAGATACGCGGGCTGATCATCTGGCGGACATCAAGATATCCGCCAAGTGCGGCGATGTGATACCCAAGCTATTCGACTTTCGTTCCACGAAAAGCTCCTAGCTAATCCTGAGTATCTGTTTTTGTTATGTGTGCCCAAAAGATGGGAATAAATATTTTAACTAAATAGTTATGTTTTGTAACTTAAGTATTGTATTTTATTTCGTTGAAAACAAAATATGAACATAATATTCAAATCAAATTAAATTCCAATTAGCTTCAAAATATACCAACTAGATTTTAAAATACCAAATTTCGGTTAATTGATAGTGATATGTAATCGATAGAGATATCGATGTCTGGCCAACTCTAGTGAACAGCAAAAAAAAATATATATAAAAAAACAAGAAAAAAGCTGATGCCGGATTGCAAGTGAAAATTTTTGAAAAGCTCAATAAAAAGGATTGAATTACGACTTTTGAGGTGTTCTGTAAAGAGAAAGCCAGTGGGTGAGCATCAATTAGCCACCGACCGTAAGTAGGAGGCGTGTCTGCGGTCAACCGGCGCCACCGGACACCAACAAATCGGAGATGTCGAAGAGTTCTGGGTAAGTTTTCCACCTTTTTCGTCAAATATTTGCAATAACAGCCGAATTCTACAGGCGCGAGCGGGACAGGGATCGAGAACGGGAGAGGGACAGGGATCGGGACAGAGACAGGGATCGAGATAATCGCAGCAGGGACTATGACATGGTGAAATCCCGTAATGGAGGAGGAGGAGGCGGCGGCAACAGCTTTGGAAGTTCCCGTAGCGGCCGGGAGGATCGTAAGCGTGTGAAGGATTCGAACAGCGAACGCGGCAGGCGGGATGAGAAGCGGAGGAAGCGTTCCAGGTCCAAGGATTATGACAAGGAAAAGTGAGTGGTTCTTAATCAGTCCAGAATCTATGACTAAAGCAGTATTTTTTACCTTTTACAGACGCTTTGATCGGGACCGAGATCGGGATCGTGAGCGCCAGCGGGAAAAGGAGCGTGAGCGTGAGAAGGAAAAGGAACGAGACCGGGAAAAGGATCGAGATCGTGATCGACAGCGGGATCGCGAGGCAGATGGCAGGCGTCCCGCCGCCCCTGCACCGCTGATTATACCGGTGCCCTCATCCAGCTCTTCAGACGAGGAGGTAGAAGAGATCGACAAGGAGGAGCAGCAGCGCCGCCTCGAGCAGGAGATGATCAAGCGTCGCGAGCGCATCGAACGCTGGCGGGCTGAACGCAAACGGGATACCAAAGCGCCGGCAGTGGCACCGGCTGCAGTGAAAACCGTCAAGAAGTGGAGCTTGGAGGATGAGTCCGAGGAGGATGATAGCAATCACGCTCCGTCGCTGGACAGCGGCAAGAAGGATGCTGAGCCCGACTCACCGCCGTCCAAGTTCCATAGCATCCGCAAGCGCTTCGACGACGACGCTGTCGAGCCAAAGTTCTCCCCGATGAAGCGACCCACCTTTAGCAAGGCATTCGGCGCCAAGCTAGTAATGGGCTTGTCACCCAAAACCGAGGTGGAGATCAAGAAGGAGACGCCTGTCGCTGAGCTCAAGGAGGTGAAGAAGGAGCCCCAGTCCGAGCCAGAGCCCGCTGAATCAGTTCCCGCAGCTCCCGTCCAAATGGAGACCGTTGAAGTTAAAAAGGAACCTTCGGTGGAGATCAAGTCGGAACCCGAAGCCACAACCGAAATGGAAACGGATGATGCTTCCCAAGTCGAAGCGGAAGCAGAGCCCGAGGACGATATAGACCCGCTGGATGCCTATATGCAGGAGGTCAACAATGAGATGCGCCGCGTCAACAATTTTGTAAATCCGCCTACAAAGAACCAGGGCGTCGTCATTCTCACGGGCGTGGCGAAGAAGAAGTCGACGACGACGAAGAAGGGCGAGCTGATCGAACAGAATATGGACAGTCTGGAGTACTCCAGCGAGGACGAGCTGGAGGATATACGCGACACGGCCGTCAATCTGGCCATGAAGCATCGCAAGGAGCTGGCTAAGATTGATCATTCCTCGGTTAGCTATGCTCCCTTCCGGAAATGCTTTTACGTAGAGGTGCCAGAGCTTGCGCGCATGACCGCTGGCGATGTGGAGAAGTATCGTGCAGAGCTGGAGGGGGTACAAGTAAAGGGCAAAGGCTGCCCCAAGCCCATCAAGGTGAGTTTAAATCAAAGAAACTAAAAGAGCTAGAACAGCTTGTATGTGTTTTTGCGCTTGTGCATAACTAATGACTGTTATCCCCATAGACCTGGGCCCAGTGCGGCGTCAGTAAGAAAGAGATGGATGTGCTGCGCAAGCTGGGCTTCGAGAAGCCCACGCCCATCCAGTGCCAGGCCATACCGGCCATCATGTCCGGACGGGATCTGATAGGTATTGCTAAAACCGGCAGTGGCAAGACGTTGGCATTCATTTTACCAATGTTTAGGCACATCCTGGACCAGCCGAGCCTTGAGGATGGCGATGGCGCCATTGCCATCATAATGGCACCCACGCGCGAACTCTGCATGCAGATCGGCAAGGACATACGCAAGTTTAGCAAGTCGCTGGGCCTTCGACCGGTGTGTGTCTACGGCGGCACGGGGATCTCCGAGCAGATAGCCGAATTGAAGCGCGGCGCCGAGATTCTCGTGTGTACGCCGGGGCGCATGATCGATATGCTGGCGGCGAACTCGGGACGCGTTACGAACCTGCGACGAGTCACCTATGTGGTCCTGGACGAGGCGGATCGCATGTTCGACATGGGCTTCGAGCCGCAGGTGATGCGCATCATCGACAACGTGCGGCCGGATCGGCAAACGGTCATGTTCAGTGCCACATTCCCGCGCCAAATGGAGGCCTTGGCTCGCCGCATTCTCAAAAAACCCATCGAGGTGATTGTCGGCGGTAGGTCGGTGGTTTGCAAGGATGTCGAGCAGAATGTTGTCATCCTCAACGATGATGCCAAGTTCTTTAAGCTCCTGGAGCTGCTGGGAATCTACCAAGAGGCTGGAAGCATTATCGTCTTTGTTGACAAACAGGAGAACGCCGACAGCCTGCTGCGCGACCTCATGAAGGCCTCGTATCCGTGCATGAGCCTGCACGGCGGCATCGATCAGTTCGATCGTGACTCCACCATCATAGACTTCAAGTCGGGCAAGGTGCGGCTGCTGATAGCCACTTCCGTGGCGGCACGTGGCCTAGACGTCAAGGATCTCATCCTGGTGGTCAACTACGATGTGCCCAATCACTACGAGGACTATGTGCACAGGTAAGACAGTGAGAACCTAAAGCCCTATGATCATAATCTCACTAAATACTCTTCTTCCCCACAGGTGTGGCCGCACTGGACGAGCGGGCAAGAAGGGCAGTGCGTACACTTTCATTACGCCGGAGCAATCGCGCTATGCTGGTGATGTGATTCGTGCCCTGGACTTGTCCGGCAGTCTGATTCCCGCCGAGCTGCAAACGCTGTGGACGGAGTACAAGGCCGCCCAGGAGGCCGAGGGCAAAACAGTGCACACCGGCGGCGGTTTCAGCGGCAAAGGCTTCAAATTCGACGAACAGGAGTTCAATGCGGTCAAGGAGAGCAAGAAGCTGCAGAAGGCCGCCCTGGGTCTGGCCGACTCCGATGATGAGGAGGACATCGAGCAGGATATTGACCAGCAGATTGAACAGATCTTTGCGGCCAAGCGCACGGTGAAGGACACGTCGGCCACGGCCACAGCTGCGGCGGCGGCTGCCGCTGCGGTGGCTGCTGCCGCCGCTTCCGGTGGCAATGTGGCTCTGGCCTCGGCCGCCGCCGCTGCTGCTGCTGCCAATATGGCCATTGCAGCGGCATCAGCGGCCGCTGCACCGGGCACACCTGCTGCTGGTGCAGCGACTGGATCAGCTGTCGGAGCCACTCTCAGCTCGGATAAACTTGAGTTGGCCAAGCGACTGGCCTCCAAGATCAACAGCAGCAAGAATCTGGATATAAAGAGCACTGTGCCGGTCGTGGAGCCACTGCTCAAGGGACAGCATGTCCCAGGCACAGCCCCGGCGATGCTGACCGCCCGAACGGTGGCCGAACAGATGGCCGCCAAGCTGAACAATAAGCTCAACTACCAGCCCAAGGAGGATGAGGAGTCCCTGGGCACCATTGCTGGCGGCAATACCAATTCGTTTACCAAATACGAAGAAGAGCTGGAGATCAACGACTTCCCGCAACAGGCCCGCTGGAAGGTGACCTCCAAGGAGGCGCTCGCCCAGATCTCCGAGTACTCGGAGGCGGGTCTCACGGTGCGCGGTACCTATGTGCCGCAGGGCAAGAATCCGCCGGATGGCGAGAGGAAGCTCTACCTGGCCATCGAGAGCTGCAGCGAGCTGGCCGTGCAGAAGGCTAAGCGCGAGATAACGCGCCTCATCAAGGAGGAGCTGCTGAAGCTCAGCTCTGCCCACCATGTCTTTAACAAGGGACGCTACAAGGTGGTCTAGGCAGGGCCACTCCAGGAAATTGTTAACAGACAAAGGATAATTGTTGAAATCAACTACGCAATCAAATCTAATAAAGATTTTACTTTAACTTAAACGCGGGCAAGATTAAAACGAAAACAAGTAACAAGTTTCTGTTTACATTTAATATTTCTAAAGTGAAAAGGTGCCCAAAATGGAAAAGACTTGTAAATATTTTCGTATTTTTGTTGCTTGTCTTGCTGCATTTTTATTATTTACTTATATATCTCTCCACCTGCAATCAATTGATTTTCATGCTACAGTATTTTGTTTTTGTTTTTCTTGTGTCTAGAAACTACTAAAATTAAATTTAAATGTAGTTATGAGCTTGTCCGGCATGTTCGCTGTTCCTTTGGGTTGGTATTATAATTTTTTATAACTATTATTATGCGCTTTTATGAAAAAAATTCAATGTTTTGTTTACATTTTTGTTTTTTGTTTTATATGCACTAATTTGTCGGCAAAAATGTTGTCTCAATACAAAACTATGAGTTATTTCTCTTTTAGCTTTCCCTTTGCTTTTCTTAATTTCGTTTTTGTTTTTTAATTATTATTGAATTTCGCGCTTTTTGTGTGTTTATTTTTTATTTGTTATATTTATGGCTACTCATTCAAAATCTTTCACACGCGCGCTATATATAACCTTGACTTTTATGTTTCTTCGTTTTATATGTACAATTCTAGTTAAATCTATAAAATGTGCTAAATTATACAAAAAAAAACACAAAAAAAAATTGTATGTATAGTATATAATTTTTTAAAATTCTTTATATATATAATATATATACTATATATATATATTACTATATATATTCATATGTTTTATGCATAGTTGTCATAGAGTGGCTTTTTTATATATATATTTGTGTCTTTCCGCTTTAGTTTTTAGTTTAGTTTGGCAACATTTTAAATTCGTTGCAATATCTCCACAGTTGTTGCTAACTTTTCTGCTTTTCTTTGCATTTATTTAGTTGTTTGTTTTGTTTTGTTTTTGTTTTTGCATTAGTTTACTTATAATTAGACAAAAAAAAAGGGTTAAATTATGCTCTTCCTTGCTGGTCTCTGTGGGGGAAGCTTGGAAAAGGGGGCTATGAGTTCGGGGCTTAGTGTGGCTACTCTTTGCTTTTGGCCTGGTTCTCTGGATCTACGGTAAGCTAGCTGAAAAATCATCCTTGTTTTTATGTTTTGTTTTTGTTTTTGGCTACTTGTGCTGTTGGTATTTACAATCGAATCAAAGTTCCCTATATTGTATATAGTATTATATACAGAGTGGCTAATATGCAATATCGCAAGTGAGTGGTGTGTGTGTGTCTCTGTTTGTTTGTTGCTGCTGCTGCTGCTGCTGTTGCTGCTGCTGTTGCTGCTGCTGTTGCTGCTGCTGTTGCTGCTGCTGCTGCTGTTGCTGCTGTTGCTGCTGTTGCTGTTGCTGCTGCTGTTGCTGCTGTTTCCTCCAGTATCTCCTCTTTTGTTGCCATTTTTCCTTAGATTTATAAGCTTAGATTCTTATTATCGGATCACTTGAAGCAATTTCTTGGCATTCGTATTTTGGTCTTTGTCGGTGTCGGTGTGTCTTACTGTGTGTATGTGTGTGTGTTCGGTGTGTGTGTGTGTTTATCCTTTTTGTTGGGCAGTAGCAGATTTTGGAGTGGAGGGGTTTCTTTCTTCTTTCCTGGAGAGAGAGATAGAGAGAGAGAGGGGAAGGCCCGTCGTGTGTTGTTCAATTGATTTATCATTTCAATTTGTTCTTTCTTTTTTTTTTTGCTCATTTTTGTTCTGCAAAAAAGGAACAAGCAAGAAAAAGAGGGGATGAAAGAGAAATACAAATAAATGGCTTAGTTTGGTCAATTTATTTTCGGTTAAAACTGGTGAAAGGTGGCTGAGGATGCACAGAGAAAATAGGGGACATATAAAAATCAATTCCTTTTAAAAAATTCGTTTAAATAAATAACAAATATACAGATTCCAAGTAGGAAATATCCTTTCTGAATTATTTGTATTAAACAAATGTAACAAAATGCTATAATATAAAAGTATAGAATGATTTAAGATACGGGAAACAATATTTTTCTCTGTGCAAATACCATTGGCCGTTGTGCTTTTGCTTACCTTTTTCTCTTATACAATTCAATAAATTATTGCATTTGATATGTTGGTCCATTGTTTCATTATTCGTTCCTAAAAAAATTCTTGTATTTCTTTGTTGCATGTTTTCATTCTTTCTCTTCGCTTTCTTCTTTTTTGTTTATTATTATTGCAATTTCTCCTTGCTATACTTGAGAGTTTTCCACGTTCTCTTTTCATTATTATGTATCTTTTTTGGGGAGTGTAGGGGGTTCTTAAAATTGGGGAAAATTAGTGGAAATTGGAGGAGGGGAACTATGTTATAGTTGTGTGTATTTTTCTGCTATTATTAGTACTGTTTGTTATTGTTTTTTCTTTTTCTTTTACATCTTACTGAGTGAAATATAGAGAGAAGTGAAGAAGGACTCTTTCTCGGTTGCTGTTATAGTTTGTAGTTGTTGTGGTGATGCTGCCGCTGCTGCAAATCGCTGGCGAAATCTATATTCATATATATATATATATTCATCGAAATCGGTATCAGAATCAAGAATCAGGAATCAGGAATCATGAGTCTGTGTCTGGGGTCATGAATCAGAATCACTATAGGTAATAGTCGCCCGCGAGGGGCATGTGACACGCGGATGTTGCATGCGATGCTGTGTGTTGTGGCTGTTGATGTTGCTGCTGCTGCTGGTGGTGTTGCTGCTGTTGTTGTTGTTGTCCAAGTTGCGATGTTGCTCCTGCTCCCAGAACCATTCCCGTAACCGGACCGCCTACCGTCCCGGTTACCGCTCCCGGTCCCGCTCCCGGTCCCGCTCCTGTTGCCGCCGCCGCTGCTGCTGCTGCTGCCGCCGCCGCTGCTGCTGCTGCTGCTGCTGATGCCGCCGCCGTGTTAACCGCCGCCGCTGCCGTCATAAACGACTATCAGTATCCGAATCCCGCCGAACCGTGGCCAGTCATTGTTGGTGTTACACTACTAACTATACCTAATTGTGTGGCTGTATTATTTGATTGTCAGTGTTGTTGAGCGGCAAATTTCATACGTTTTTGTTTTGACGTTGATTGCAGAACCAGACGCGCACCACGTTTTTCTTCAAATCCAGCTTTTCGGCAATGGCTGCGATTTTCTCACCGGACGGCCTCGGCTGGACGGCGAAGTAAGCTTCCAGGGAACGCTTTTCAGGTGCCGCAATGGAAGTCCTTTTTCTTGAAAAAAGACTCGATATAGATTACTTTAGAAGCGGGGCCCTAAGCCGGGGAACGGACGCGGACAGGTGGTAATTCGGCAAGGGGGTGGATGATTTTAATTTAATTTTCAATTTTAGTTTTGTACAAGATTTAAGACTTAATTTTATTTTCATTAAAATTTTTAATTTTTGACAAAAAATTGAATTTTTTTAAATTGAAAACCGAGTATGCAGATTTGTTAAGCTATAAAAAACTAACACAGAAACACTTTCCGAATTGAATTTAAAGCATTTTTGGCTTAGTTATGATATTTGGAAAACATTGTTTTAGCCAAAAAATTGGGATATACAAAAATATGAAATAAATATTAGATATTTTAAGAATTCTTTGAGGTATTTAAAATGAAATAAAATAATGAAAATAAAACTAACTGGCATTCGAGCTCGATTCCATAAATCTCTGCTTTTTTTCGATGTTGGGCCAATTTCTTCGCTATTCCGATGCTGGAAGAGGGAGGATGGTACTCTCCGGGGGGCTTATGGGGATTTGCTGACCCGGCGATTTCTCGCCGGGATGGGTCTTGGGACATGGGAAAGAACTCAGGTGCAGGTGGGTGGGAGAGGGGGAGGGGTTCGGCTGGCGGGTCGATTAAAACACTTTCTACCTTTTCTTCTCGCCCGCCGGCAGCACGCTGGGCGCGTCCGGGTCGCGCCTCTTGTTTTTCGCCTGCGCCTCGGCCTCCTCGAGCCACGCTTGCAGGATGGGCTTCAAGGCGATCATGTTGTTGTGCGACAGCGTCAGGCTCTCGAACCGACAGATCGTGCTCTGCGACAGTGCGCCGACGCCAGGTAACTTGAGATTGGCCAGGGCCTTGCCCACGTCGGCCTGCGTCACACCTGTAAGTCATTGGTTATTAATGAAATAGATTTAATTCCAGTCAATTTAAGTTATTTTGGGTATAAACTTCGAATTTGTATAAATAATCATAATAAATAATTGTTTTTGAGGTGTGGCGTAAGACCATTTTGTTGACCAGAACCTTTTACATCCTTCACAAATAAAAAGCTTTGGCAACAGAAGAAAAACCCACACATAGATGGCGCCACTAGGTAGTGTTCATAAATGAAAATAATGAAAAGTTACAAATTGCCTTACAAATTATAAATTTAAAACTGGGTTTACGCTTTTTGCATACATCTTGAAATATTTTAATTTAGGAATTTGAGATTTTAATTAAACATGAACACTTTCTGCTTACCCAGCTTGATGCGCCGCTGCTTGAAGCGCTCCGCAAACGCTTCGAGCTCTCGGGGATCGGTGTCGGTGTCGGGATGCAGGCCAGCGGCCGCCACTGCCGCCGTGATGACAGGATGATGTACCGCTGAGTGTCCATGGTGACCTGATGGCCACAACAATGCGGAGAGAAGGAGAAGGTGATCAAGGACTTACTGGCTAGCTCCGATCACTACTTACCCCCGTGTGGCCACTTAACGTGCCCGGATGGTGGTGGCTCATCATGTGATTCATGCTGTGATAGGAACCGTGCAGGTGCTGATGTGTGGGCGTTAGTGGTGACTCCGAAATGGGCGCCAATGTGGTCATCGAGCCCGTTGGATCCAGCATGTCCAGCTGGTCCATTGAATGGTGCATCTGCAAGACAATGATTAAATAACATAAACATTAACATCAAATACAGGGAAAATGTAAGCTAAACATCTAATTAATTAGCTTTGTTTTCAATATTTCCATATATATATATTATATTTTAAGCTATATAAAACTTCAGACAAGTGCCTGAAAAAGAAATCCATATACATAATTCAAAGACCTGTCGCAGCTTTATCGCTTTCGTTACCCCCAAAACTAATCATTGTAATTATCACGTTGGAAAAGTTCCAAGCCCCCATCCAAAAGTCTTCCGTAAGCAGATAATTTATAAAGTTTTCCACTCACGCGGCATAAGAAATGTATTTAAAGTTGCCTCTAATTAAAGTCAACAGCTCCTGCTTCCATCAACCCTTGCACTTGTTACTTTTCCCAAAAAAGTAAAGGGAAAGGAGAGCGAGGGAAGGAGCAAGGGGCTAAGTTGGGGATTCTCGGGTTCCCCGTTCATTGAACGCATCTTGAGATGACTGAAAACGAAACGAAATGAAACGAGGCGAAATGGAACGGATACGGATATGGGATACGAATCCGCTCTCACAACTCTTTTGTCTAGGCATCAAATATGTATGGAATTGTTGAATTATTTATACAAATATGAATAGCAACTAAAATGGTGTTCCTGGCTCTGCTCTCACTCCCTTTGCCCATTCCCCTTGCTCGTTATCCTTCGCTTGCTTTTGTGTTGCTTTGTTAAGCATTTAAACTGATTACAGCTGAAAAGTATGCTACAAATAGACTGGGCTCCTAGCTCTGCTCGTGGCTCCTTGCTCCTTGCTCCTGATTCCCTGTTCCCTCGATTCCAGCTCCCTGCTCCCTGCTCCCTGCTCCCTGCTCCCTCCCTTTGCTCCACTTCCATTTCCATTTCGAGTGGGTTAAAGCCGTGTGAGAGCTGTGCGAGCGAGAGCTGGAAAAGCACTAGAAATAGGAGGAGGGAGGGCTTTTCCGGCGCTGAGGGGGTCACTCATATTTATTTATCTTTTTGTGTGTGAATGTGGCGCAGTCGGGCGGGTAAAACTAGCGCTTAGTGCTGCCCCAACCCATTGCTCTATGCTCCTCTTTGACTTTATGTACAAAGCGTATATACCACGCCCCCGCTTAGAGAAGGAGGAGAAGCAGCAGCGGTAAGGGATAGCCAGGGAAATGGAAAATGGAAAATGGACACCACCAAAATCGGACCCGTGCCAATTATGTAAAACTCTAAAATGATAAGCACGATGGAGGACTACAATAATACAGTATATATATTTGTGTGTATATTTATGTAGATGCCAGAAACTATGTAGAGGCTTGATGCTCCTGCTCCTGCTCCTGCTCCTGTTACTGCTACTGCTCTTGGTCCTACTCCCGCCCCGCTCCTTACTCCTCTCTCTCCCCTGGCTGGGATGCTGCCGAATACAATGGCAAACTCTTCAATTATAAACCAATCCCAAAATTAGTCTGACGGTTATTGGTTTGCACCCTTGGCGGTGCTCTCTCTCTCTCTCGCTCGCTTCGGTCGCACTTGGGGATGCGGGTCCTGCTGCGCGCTCTCTTTCGCACACTAATGCGGCTGTCTCTCTCTACTGAGAGCAGGAACCACCCTGCGCAAGGACACCACGCAGTGTCGGAGAGAGAGAGAGAGTATGTCAGTGAGTGAGCGAGTGAGAGAGAGACTTGGCCATGGACCTGCCGTGAACCCGCACCCGGCTGTAGCCGGAGCCGGAGCCAGAGCCAGGATCTGCGTACCCGTGACTACGGCAGGACCCCCGAAAAGAGCCATAGTCCTGCTGCTGCATTGTGGTTGGCTGGGGCTTATGCAAAATTCATGTGGGCAGTGCCGATTCCGAACGCCGATTCCAAACGCCGATGTCGCTGCCAGCGTTAACTTCAACGTCAGCATCGAGTAGGATATACTATATAACATACATACATATATGTACAGATATACATACATACATACATACATACATACGCCCACTTCTTTATCCTCTAAAACTCTCCTCGGTCGTCCTGCCGGCAAAAGTCCCTCTGCCCTGGCCATTTCATTAGGCGCATAATTTGTAATTAATAAAATTATTCAAAGGGGGCCAAAGGCTTCTGCTACAAAAGGCTGCAACTTAAAGTTGGCCCGGATTTAAGTTGAATTTGCACCGAAAGAAAATAATTATATATCTTAAATTCTTTAAGTCTTAAGGGATACATTGAAGTGATATCTATATATAAATTGTATTTTGTTCTGAAGATGTTGTACATTTCTTTCCAATTTTTTGGGATATTCAGAATCTTCTGACCTTGATATAACTAAGTCTAAATTTATGAAAATCGAAACCTTGCAGTAAATATCCTTTATAACTCAGTCAAAAATGGATTAATTTTCAATCGAAAAGTTTTCCTATGTTAGTTTTTATTAGGTTAATAAATCTGCATATTCAATTTAAAATTTAAAATGTTGTAATTTTTCAACATTTTAATGATGTAACCCCTTATAAAATTTTGAAAATTGTTGAAAAAAAATAAATTTTTGCCAGACATAGCTAGAACGATCCGCTTTTTGATGCTGATCAAGAATATATATGATTTATAGGGTCGCAAACGACTCCTTCAATGTTTTTTAAGCTTCTGACTAAAATTAGAATACCCTGAAAATGGTATTTTTATAGTAAATTTGTGATGTATTTTGTTGATTTATCAAAGCTTAAATATATCACAGCTCAGCCAAAAATGCATTAAATTCGATTCGGAAACCGTTTCTATGTTAGTTTTTTATAGCTTAACAAATCTGCATACTCGGTTTTTAATTTAAAAAAATTCAATTTTTGCCAAAAATTGACAATTTTAATGATGTAACCCCTTATACAAATTTGCAATTTTTGAAAAAAATCTTGAAAATTTTATTTTTTACCAAAAATGTCTAGAAAGATTCTCCTGTTGATGCTGATCAAGAATATATATGATTTATGGGGTCGGAAACGACTCCTTCAATGTTTTTTAAGCTTCTGATTAAAAGTAGAATCCCCTGAAAGGATACACCAAACCAAAATATGTGAGCATTGGCTTCTGAATGTTTATATTTTGTATTATGATTTATTCTTAGTTATTTTTCTAAAGTCTCTTGTTCTAAAAACCCATACTCAAGCTGGGACTAGAGCGATACTTGGCCAGAAGTTTCCTGTGCGAGGGAGATAGGCCTTTTCGGGTGTGGTGTGGGTGTGTCAAGCCAGGTATCTCCACCCCTTTATGGCCAGAGGACAAATCAAATGCAACAATAGAAGACAATTCCCCCCAAAAAAAGAATGAACAAACGTAAATAAATACGAGGGAAAGGAGGGAACAACAATTGCATTCGGTGCTCTTTCAAATTGCCAAATGTTGTCCGCATTGATTTTCTGCTGCAATACATATACATATATACCCGTGTGTTTAATACATACGCACGCGGACATACATACATATATCCTTTTTGCTGCAGCAGAGAGAGAGAAGGCAGGACATGTGTGAGTGTGTGCGTGTGTCTGTGTGCGCAAAGACGCCATTTTAAAAGAGAAATACCCTGAACAAGGACAGGGAATGCAATGCTCTAAAGGAGGATAGGGAATCAGTGAATATAGCGTACTTGCCTGAATTTTTCCTGCAGAATTGGACAGCTTCAAGTATGGCTATAATACTACTTGTAAGGACAAATATATATATATATATGTCTGAACTTTTTGGAAATCGGTTGAAATTTACAAAATTTGGGAAAACTTTTTACTTTTGGTTTGAAACAAGGAGTTCAAGGCTGACTAGATGGCAAGATTTAAGTTTTAAGTTCAAATATAAAAACACACTAACGTTTAACATTTAAAAACAGGAATACAATTTAAGATAAATATTAATAAAATATAGGAACTAACTATTGTACCTTTTTTTATTAAACTAAAATGGTATTTAAATAAAAGATCTCCCTTTATTATAAAAATAGCTAAAAACTCCCTTTAACTACTTGCCGTAAAACCCATTAAACCCTGTTTAAACTCAGCTGGTACAAACGATTTCCATTTGAATATTTTATACAAAAATGAACTCAATAGTTTACCAACTAATTTTTATAATTAAGTGTTTTATTAAGTCCCACACTTTTTTTTTAAAGGGAAAAGAGCATTCCTTGTTCGCCATTTCTGCCTTTTCTTTCTTCGCTTTAATTTTACGCTTTGACTTTGGTCGCCAGCTTCATAATTTATTAACAAATTTGAGAACATAATTTATTTATTTGCCGTTTGTTGATAAACATGTCCTGCTGTCCTCCTTTCCTTTCCTTTCCTTTCCCTTGGCTTCGCCTTTGATTCCTTGTGTGCGTTTTTTTTGCTTTTTTCACCTCTCTGATTGTTTACGCGCAAATGACCTCATTATATACATTTATATACATACATATCTGTGTATATATAGTATATAATGTAATTTGTTATTTCCCCCTCTCTTACCTGCGCTCTATACTTCTTTTTGGTTCCTTGTTTTGACATAATAAAGCGTTTTTGGCGCAATTTGTTCTAGCCTGTCTTTGTTTTTGTTTGTCTTCTGTCTGCCAGCTATCCTTCTCTTTTTTCCTCTCGCTCTCACAGGCGTGTGTGTGTGTGTGTACTTTGTTATTGTTCATTAATTTTTTAGCACTGTTAATATATTATGGCGGTGACTTTTGTCACCCAGGGCACAAGCACCAAGCACGAACAGATAGGGCAAACCCGTTCCCCTCGTCCTGACAGATTTCGTAGCACACTTTCGTGCGCTGCGGGGGAAAAAATCAAGCGAGACTTGCTAAACTTTAATGAAGCCTCTAATTGAGGTGGCTTATTTGAAATCAATCAGTCTGGAATCTTTGATAAACGTTGAAAAAGTTTTAATATTTGTTATGCTCAAATTGAAGTAGTTACTGTCTAGAAATTTGTTAGATTTCGGGGCTTATTTTTCAATGAATAGTCTCCTTTCGAATGTAATTAAGCTTAAATTTGTAATCTACAGAATTTGAAACT